GTACTCCTCGTGAAACACCTTCAATCTAGGCCAGAGTTGTCAAGGCTAGATGGCACTAAGTGTATTGGGCTTAATACATTAGTGAAATTCATTTGAAATAGGATGGGACTAGATGTAGGAGGATTACACTACCTCTGAACCAGGATATATCGTGTGTTGATTTCCTTAGTCAACAAAGCACACACCCAACACTTCTCGTATAAGAAATTGTAGTTTGCCAGCAGCATTTTAAGCAGTTGTCTTAACTGACCCAACTGCTTATCCTACTGCTTAATTACTCACCTTTTCTTGAGATAACCTTTTCACAAGAGCTTCGTAACATAACTGTCTAAAGGTACACTTTGCCTGAAATCACTTCTCTTACTGAACCAGGCGGCTCAACAGTTCCCTGGTATCACTCAACTGCTGAGACCTCTGCTCAGGCAAAAACACCTTAAATTCTCAAGCTCAGTATCCAATCAGGAAGCCCTCATCACACTATACAAGGTCACATAATCACTAGAAGAGTCGCTCTATCAGATTCCAGGAATTCACTCTTCAAGTATAGCAGAGACCTCGGCAGTCCCCTGGTGACCACCCAACTACTGAGCCCTCTGCTCATACAAACTTACTTCCTGTGAACATCTCAAGTATCATCACTGTCTCATAACATCTCTAGTAAGAAGGCAGTCTACGAACCCCAGTTTATAATACAAGCAGGTGTCTCAGCAGTTCACTCAGTACCACCCAACTGCTGAGACCACTGCTGAAATATAGCTGTAGCTTCCTTTCAACTAAAGGATATTTTTCCACTGCCCTCATCATCCTAAACAATATTCCATCATCATCTTCATCATAAAGTCTGTATTAGTCTAGCAGTTGCCTCAGCAGTTCCCTACCACCTAGCCAACTGCTAAGCCAACTGCCAAGCCAACTGCTAGCTATCTAAGTCCAATCTTCCCCAGATCTGAAAGTGGTTAAAGCATTCATTATATATATAAAGGGTAAAAAATTCCGCTCTGCATCTATTAATCTCTCAAAAGATTATAGATCAACTCCTCTAGAGGGAATTCTTTGTAAAGGCCGAAAAGATTTAAAAGTCTATTCACCCCCCCCCCCCCCCCCCTCTAGACTTTTACCCTATCCGGGACCATCACCAATTGTTGGAGAATCCATATCAACAGTCGATTTAGTAATATGCAATAATATAAAGAAATTGAGTGGAAGAAGAATAGTTCATCAAGAATGAATACCGTATATTATTAATGATTTAGCAATAACGCATAATACATGTATGAATTGTTGAGAGAGATAACAGAGGTGCTCTACGAGAATAATAGGTGTGTAATAAATTGTGTAGTCTTTTTCTCTCTATTCTAACGTCAGAGTTCAAAGAATGATGCATGAGGCTATTAGGAATTGGGAAATCTTAGTTTGTTCGGTCCATAATACCTTTATTTATAGGCATATGACCGAACATCCTAGTTACAATAGGATGGGCCAGATTAATCTAATTAAATGGCCCCTAATTAATTTAATAGCCAACTAATTAAATCTAATAGACAAAGATAAATCTAATTAAATTGAACACAATAAAATATGTTCTAACATTTATCATTGGAATCTCTTTGTTCTTCAATTTCTTCACTTGTTGGATCACTATCTATACCGGTTCCACTTCATATTGCAAGTCCTCTTGGATCTCCACCGGTGGTTTCTAAGAATATGTGACGGGTCTCACACATATTTATTGAGCATCGATATATGAAACACATTATCAATCTTCTACAGTTCGGGTGTCAACTTGAGACGGTAATCCACGACCCCAATCCTTTCATGGATTTCAAACAGACCATTGTATTAGGAGTTAAGCTTACTCCTAACTATGAATCAGATGATACCTTTCGAAGGAGAAATCCTTAGAAACACCTCATCCCCGACTTCAAACTCCAAGTGCCTTCGCCGTTAATCAGCATAGCTGTTATGCCGATGTTGGGCAGCCTTAAGCCTAACACAGACATAGACCACCGGGATGTTGAAGAAATCTTCTTGTTTAATTAAGAAGGACGCCGTGAAGTAATTGGAGTGAAGTGGTGATACTTCAGAAAGCTCAGTGAAAAGGCCAGTCATGAGGAAGCTAGGAAGAGCATCCCGGGTGACAATTAGGGTTGAAGAAGATGTGGAGTGCTTCTTAAGTGCTAGGAACTAAGTGTTGTATCCTGATCCTTTACAAGCTCAGTGAAAGAGTGGATTAGAGGAACAAGTTGTTCCTTGAACCACTATAAAAATCTCTGGTGCCCTTTACTTACTGCACTTATTATTTATTCTTAGGACTTAACTGATTTTAAAGACTTGGACTTCGTGTTCAGTGAATTTTGTCCTAAGAGAAAAACAGAAAGGCAAATATGCCTTAGCGTTTCTGTTAGGCTACCCGACCAGAATACCATCCGCTGCTGGTCAGTTTTGTTGAACTTGACCAACTCTGTGACACTTAGTGTTTTCAGAAAGATTTTGAAAAAACCAAAGCAGTTTATTCACCCCCTCCTCTAGACTGCTTCACGTACAACCAGGACCAACAAAACTTAAGAGGGATTATTTGTGTTGGTTAAACCAAAGCCGTTGAGTTGAGGTTATCAATCTCAATTGATTTTATCAAGGAGTTAAAAAGATTAAATGTTACTATTAAGTCGGTATAGGACGGTAATCTATATTTGGATAATAGTAAGGGTTGTTAATAAACGGTCGTTATTCAGAATAACTACTCTGGATGAATTGGAGATACTCCTCGATTGAGTATTCGAGAGGAGATAAGTTAAAGATATAATCAGGATCGACTAAACATCTCAACAAGTGAAAAGTAGCAAAACAAGTTTTTTAATCTTATTAATTTAAATCACATAAGTCGTTCACCTTGGTGTTTATTAAATGAAATCAAACAATCCCAAATCCCCCATTTAAATTACTAGTTTCACTAAAGAAAAGTATTCATTTCCCTTTGGATACGAATCTTACTCCACTATACTACGCATAAATGTTAAGTATTGAATTTATTTTGAGTCGCATACGACTATAGCGTCATCACAAAAACGCAACAAGTACGCACGAACGACATGCTCAGCTCGGAGTGCATCACCTCAGACTCAACTCAAATCAATTGCAAGGAATCAAAGCACATGGTCGACATCGGAAAAACTCTACTCCCTTTCACTTTGGGGCTCCTCAGCTCAGAGAGTTGGGGACTCCTGATAGAGTATATGGGATCAGACCAATGACTCACACACTCTTGGATACACCTGCGTATACGTAGTTGTCACCTCGGTCACAGTCCACGTGAAAGTCACCCAAGATTATGATCATCGCCCCAAGGTGCACTCCTGCACCTCGGACACCCTGTTGGAAAAATGTGTTAAAAATTGCATTAAATGGTCATTTTGGGGCAATTATTTGAGTGGGGTCCACTTCCGATTTGGGTCGGGTCAAAGTGGTTTCGGATTGTCCTTGTTAAGGGCTACAATTCGATATATCGTACGCTCAAAACGGATAACGGGTGAATGAGAAATTGATTCTTGAAGTTCACTCGTTGAAATGGAAACACTGGGAAAATGATGAGTTTCTAGTGTGTTTTATACCACACCGGAAAACTCAAGAGATTTTCACCCCATTATAAAGGGAAGCCTCTTTTAAGGAGTTAAGATTCCTGAAGGTAAAGGCTCTCTCTTACGTGCAGGGGGGGTGCTGATCAAATCCCGAAACGGAGTAGAAAAACCACGACTCGTGTGCGCGGACGACCTGCGGACACGAATGCCGTCTGAAAAATCTATCATTAAATGATACGATTTAATTTTTGTTTCTTCCCGTAAATGTTCCTTATTTTTTCCAAGCTGAGAGTTCTGTTCGCAACAGAGGTGCTCGAGTTCTGGTCGCACCAGAACTGCTCCTCTTCTGTTCGCACCAGAAGACCTCTGGTCGCACCAGAACTGGTCCAGGCGTTACAGCCATTAAATTCTCAACGTTCTTATGCTTTAATGTTGCGTTAAATGGACAGTTTATGGACGATTCAATGCCCAACGGACGAGTCATTGATGTCCAACGTTCAGGTCTATTAACACTCCATTTAATACACAACAAATCCTCCTATAAATGGCTGGCAAGTGGTTTGCAACAAAACACTCACAATACATTCCTCACGTATTTTTTAGCTCTAAAACACCTCCAGCTACTCAGAAAATTTCTAAGTGTTCATACTGTGTTTCAGTTCGCCAGAACTCTCGTTTGTGTGCTCAAACGTTAGTTCATTACCCACCGTATCCTAGGAAACGGTCGTTGCAACGCTCCTAGCACCGTGGGAGGCGACGAATACGTTTTAAGGACATCGTGCGTAGCACGAGCTCTGGCTAAAATCTGCTCTATCTTATTTCTGTTTTTCTTTAGCTATTTTATTAATTAATTAATTAATTTTATTAATTAATATTTCTTCGTTTTTTCGAAACACACCCAACACATCCGCACCTCGGCTAGCTTCAAAGCATCTGACCAGAGCTCAACTAGAAAAGGACATACGCCAAGCTCTGCATCACCTCAATGCTCTCGCCCATAGAATAGTCGACACGTGTAGTGCATTTAATGCATCGACTCATTTATTGCTACTCTGAATACCCCATTGGGAGCAGATGTAAAGGGTCTGAATCCTATTAATTGCAATCTATTTCTCTCTCTAAACTTAGCTCTCCCTTCTCTCTAGCAATACCACTAGTGGTTTATCGGGATCCAATAACATAATATTAAGCAAAGTGATTTCGAAAATTTTAAATTTGCTTGTAAAGGGCTTTGCACATGAATATTTGTAACACAAGGATCTTGATGAAAAATTTAAATTAAACGGGATTAATGCGCTGAATTTCAATATAATGAGAGGTAGGAGTATCTATGTATAAACATGGGAAAAGTGTTGCAAAAATCAAAACATATAACTCCTAAAAAAGAAAATGTAGCAATTAAAAGAATACATTACTACGTACTAATTAAACTACGGATTTCCGCAAGTTAATACTCCAATATTGATATGCTCAATATAACATTGAGAAGAATAAAGTGAAAGAGTAACATAACTTTGGAGGTAACCCCATTCAGGCATAGGGACAAAGCATTGTTGTTACATATAGCGGACTACAATTAGAATATATAATTGTTTTTGATGACCTTAAAATTAAACGCAAGATAGTCCTTAGAAAGATCATATCTCATTGGTATCGCGGGCATCCTTTTGAAAAGCCGCAGCTAGTCATTGACATTTGTAAGGACATGGATAATTGTCTACCACTTGAACTATTTGCCTGTCAAAGTACCAGTCTCCAAATAGGCTTGCAATAGTCTATCAAAAGAACATAAGAAATCATATCAAATTTAAATCATTAAATAAGAAATCTCCGTTAAATTTAATTAATTTGCCTTTAACCATTAATAATGCTAAATTAAAGGTACAATTTCTATGATTTATATCCCACCATTAGGTCCACGTAAATACCTTATTAGTCCCTGTAGCTTGACTAATCCAAATATCCTTTTCTACTTGTGTATGAGCAAATGGAGAGGTAACTAGGAACCCTTTGGAAGAAATATTGCTATGTTTTGGTAGAACTGTGAGAAGCTCCAACCGAAGATCTAGATTTAAAAATATGTAAGTATATTTATTCGCATAACTTAGTTACCAATAAACTTACTACATTGCTTAATATTTAAAATACAATTTAATGAATATATGAAACTATTGAAATAAAATTGTTAACCACCGAACCTTGTGATGCTTTAATTTGAGTCGGCGTGCAACTCAAATTTCTCACACAATCGCGAAGGTCCATTGATAAAGTATATTGGATCTGCAATATTTATAAACAAAATAGTTAGACAAAAATAAACATATTTCTGCAAGTGCGCATGGTTACGTTGCATTTTCTTGGAGAAAATAAAAATCGAACTAAGATTATTAATCAAGGGAAAACTGTCAATTTAGTCATCGTACTATCACGAAAAAGTCAATTAGGTTCTCTTAATATAAAAAAAATAATCAATCTCCCGAAATTTGAAAAATATTCAATCGAGTAAATTAGCAGGTTATCTGCCATGTTAGCAGGTTACTCACTGACGTAGCGCACACGTGGCGGTCCATATGCGTGCCGCATCACTGGTAAATTGCTGACTAGGCTTCCACATGTGTGTCACGTCAGCAAAACACTTGGTGACCGGACTGCCACATGTGTGTCATGTCAATTGGTGACCTACTCACGTGACGAGTAATCTAGTAATGGACTCAATTAAACGTTTTTACAATGTTTGAGAATTTGATTGACTTTTTATAGTACAAAGACCTAATTGACTTTTTCGTGATAGTACGATGAACAAATTGACAGTTTTCCCTTAATTTAATATATGAACAAATATCATCAAATTAACAAATCGTTTTACTTTTTCTTTTATGAAAAAATATTTTCGATTATTTCAAAATTTTACATCTTTGTGGATTTCAATGTTTTATGTACGGTTTATGATGATTGTCTTATAATAAATAAGTTTTCCCCGATAATAATGTCTGCAACCATATTTGGGTTCATCATGGCAATACAAAGTGTGACAAAAGACATCATTAAAAGACATCCGTAGTATATGCTTATGTTATAAAAAATTGAATTTACATATTTATAAAATAAATTAGAAGTTAATTAGTTGTATTCAATCGCTAAAATAAATTTGAAAATGATTTAAACGTAAGGGTGATAGAGATTAAAAGAGGGAGTAGTATTTAAGCCAAATATCTTACAAAAATTAAAATTATTTTTAAAAATTACTAGTTTTTTTTTTCTGAAAGGGGAGACTAATCTTACTTATACTAATCAAATAATGGTACAAAGTCTGAAATACAATTAGAAATATCGTAGTGTCCATACAGTAGAGAAAGATCTCAAGTTTTTTGCAACAAACTAATTTTACTAAACCATATATAAGTATGAATTAAATTACACTCACATTTTCTAAGAAAGCTACATTTATCAATACATTTTATGCAGGGACGGATCCAGGATTTCGAGTCAAGTGGGCGAAATTTTTTCGTAAGTGTAGTGGGTGATTCTTTTTCCGCTAGTGTAGTGGAGCGAAACTTTTTTCACTAGTGTAGCAGGGCGATTTTTTTCAATAGTGTAGGGCTTTGAGGCTAATTTTTATTAAAAAAGAATTTATAGGTACATACATGATGACATTTAAATATATTACATTCTAAATTTAGACAATGGAAAAATAACTTTAGTTTTATAATTGTAAGTGATTTAGAACAAAGTATTGATACATTAAAGCGTAAGAAATAGCAAATCAAAGAAAAATTATTTGAAAATGAAAGAGGATATATAACATTTTATCAAATTATTTGAAAGTAAAGAGTTTAAAAGGTGCACAACCACCAATGCTTTTTAAATAACTCTTGCCATGTTTAATCACATGAATCTTATCGGTTCAAGGAATTGATTTTTGAATTGCAAATTTTATTTATCAAGAAGGGTGTTCGCGACTCATGAGGTGTTTTGCTAATATTACAATACTGTGTTTGAGATTATTATTTTTTAGAATAATATTATATTGCTAATTCTTATTTATGGTGCATATTAAATTTGTATTAATGCCTTAAATAAGTTAAACTTTATTATCTATGCAATAATTTTTTTAAAGTAAGAAGTAAATGATTTGTTTAATTTGAAATTCACTTCACATGATCTAAAAACTGTTTAGATTTAATATTGTTTGATATTTCATATTTAATATTGTTTGATATTAAATTATCACAAATCGAGTACTAATTATCTAATAAATTAAAGATGATTAAACATTTCAAAACTATGATTTTTTATATAATAGGTATCCTAAGTCTTAAACAATGAGTTGTTCTATTGTTTATTTGTTTAAGTTATGTAAATTATTTTAGATGTTTCATCTTTTAACTCTCCAATTAAGTATTAAATAATGTATGGCTATATAATAATTTTGAAAACTAAAAGTTAAGGAGGGCGGATACATATATATCTAATTAAAGTACAAAAATTTTATGAAAATATTACATATATAGTAGAAAAATTTGAAAGTCCAAGGGGAGCGACCGTCCCCGTGCCCCCATAAATCCATCCCTGATTTTATGTGTACTCATACAAAATTGCAACACAATGCAATATGTGTGGATATGATGTAATGTACTTATAGTGCATTTATATATTTGAATTGGTAAGATATACTCGTATAATATATATATATATATATATATATATATATATATATATATATATATATATATATATATATATATATATATATATATATATATATATGATTGTTCGAGATAGATTCAAACCTGAACCCTATCAAATGCTGACATTAGGAAAAAGATAGGTGTTTTGATATCTTCCTGTAGATTTGGCGGGGAAAAACACTGCAAAATTTAACAAATATCATTCCTCTCACAATATTTCTTCATACCAAACTTTAAATAGTATTGATGATCGACCATGTGAATTAAGCAGTTTTTTGTAAGGAGATTGAAACTTATCGGCCATATAATTACTATATACTCCCTCCGTTTTTAAAAGAGACTCGCACGTTCCTTTTTGAGATGTTTCAAAAACAAAGTCACAATTCGCTTATTTCCTTATTTGGCAAAGAAATCTACATCCAAACAGTGCCAAATAGTGCGAAACAGTGTCAAACAGTGTACAAATAGTGTCAAACAGTGTCTACACAGTATTTTCTACATTAAAGTTAATTTATTACCTTAATAATCGTGAAGTCAAACCGTCTTCTTTTGGAAACGGAGGAGTACATACTTTAAAAACAAATATGAGATACATTTTGTAACGTACCAGTTCTGCATTTAATCTTGCAGTACAAGATTCGGGCAGCACATCTTTTAACCTCTGTAACCAATGAAAAGCGAGTATAAATTTTATGAAGTGAAAATTTTACACACATAAGATATGTATCTAGAAGACTAGAAACAAATAAAACAAAATTGCAAGAATAATAAAATTCAAACATTGATAAAATTTAAGAAGATTACATGTAGGTTTACTAAGCCCTCAAACATTGATAGGAATCCATTTCCTTCGATATGATTTTTCCTGTTCAAAAGTATAAACTGAATCTATAGGGCTTACTAAGAATCTTTAAAATTCATAAATGTAATTTAGATAACCAATTATGACATTTGATATTTGAAATGTAACAAACTTACGAGAGAAAGAAATAACCCCCATCAGAAAAGCACTTTACTCTGGCATCGGATGGAAACAGATTTCGAAATCTATCACAGTATATGGTTGTGGCAACACCCCCGCTGAACCACCAACTAAAAGAGCCTATAAAAAGATAAGTTTCAAAATACATATAAGGGCAATGGTGCTTATATATTACAAACACACTACAAAAAAAACCACTGGATTGACAAGGATTTTGGCAGGGATTTGGAAGAGATTTTGGCAGGAAAATGCCAAATTCGTGCCACAAACACTTTGGTACGAGGTATTTGGCACGAAAAATCGATAAGTTCGTGCCAAATTCCGTGTCAAATTCCGTGTCAATCCCGTAATTTTTTTTGTAGCGACATGCCTTCACATTACTATACAAACACAATAAAGTACTCCGATCCGTAAGACATAATTAGCATGCATAAGAGCATTGCATACAAATACAAATATAGGCAAAGCTTGCCATATGCATGTCAAAATAATCTACACTTAAAAGCTAGTAATAATTTTAGCAAGTAAAGAAACATACAGTATTATATTAATCATGCTTAGTACGTAAGTTAAATACAAAGTAAAATAGTAAATGCATACATTTGTTGCATTTCCCATCCCTTTTTGCAACAACTCTTGCATGGCGGCATGCAGCGAAAATTATCCTTCCTCTAAAATAAAGTTTTGTACCCTGCAACAAGTTCAACACATCTAAAAACATACTGTATGTGTACGTAGAAGAATATTTGATGTCTTTAATGTATGTGTTATCTCTTGCCAGTGCTTGGCGGTTGCAAATTATATTTATGCGAATATATTGCAATTTTAAGATACTATTACTCATAACATTATTATTGAGGAAATGACAAAAAAACAGGGTTTTGTGTCTCACATGCCAAAAGACGGGAATTCCTTTTTTGGTACGAAAGTACGGGATTCAGAAAGGGTAGTTCTGAATGGATTATTTCAGAGGGAAAAAATTGATCAGAAAGCATCACTCTGAATGCATGCCCATTGCTCCACTCCAACCTCCAACTAATACTAATAAATACTATTAATACTACTCACGTATGAAAATAATAATATTATGATAGCAATATAATATTGTACGTAGTATGCATTAATTATTAATACATAGTTATATGTGATATAGTAGTTTTTATTTGAATTTTATGGTTAATTTAAGTAATACTAGCTTCCTTCGTTTCATTCAAATGTTCTCACTTTTCTTTTTATGACGTCCGGTCATGTCCCATTTAAAGGTTTCCATTTTTCATTTTAGGAAACAATTTCTTATTACTCTTAAATACAATTTAATCATCAAGTATTAAAAATAAAACATCTATAACATCACAGTTATCATCAATGACCCCAATATATTATATGAACATCAAAGTTATTTCTCAAAACGTACTCAAATTAACATATTTAATTATTGTCTAAATAATTGTGTCATTTTGCAATGAGAACCTTTGAACGGGACAGATGTATGTAGTAATTAAGAGAAGACTATAAATAAATATGAAAATTAGTAATTTATAAGTAAATTAATAGGGGAAATTTTCTGAGATATGATTAAAACATAGTGAGTTTTTCTAAATATGACTAGCATTGTTTTTAGACATTCGTATATCTGAAAAGAAAAATATAAATAAATTTCATTTATATTAATTTTTGAGTGATGAAAAAACCAGTATGTAAAAAAGGTGTGTTTTGCACTACTTTCATCCAATCAAAAAAGTGCACATTGGAGTTATTGTACAACATTACTGCACATTCGGCAAGAATCATCCACCAACATTAATTCTGTTCTCATCCACGTGAGAATTTATTTATAGTTCCTTTTTATTTCTTTTTAGATTTAATAACTTTAGTATTTTACGTTCAATTAAAAATATTGCATTTCATGTCAGCGTTACCGTTCAACATCCTATTATGTTAATGGAATACGGATGACAAATAAATAAATAAATAAATAAATAAATAAATAAATCCAATGTTTGGAAGGTTGTATTCCGAATGGGTATAAAAAAAAAGGTGCCATTTGGAATCCACGGTTCCGAATAGGCTAATTTACCAATTAAAACTCTTGCTCAAAACCAAAATCTACTGGGAAGCATTCCTTCCAATTAGGTAGATTCTATGGTACCCATAGGGTATCATACCTTTGTCCACATGGTACCTTTGAGAATGATACCTTTCTAATAAAGTGATGTGGTCCAAACAAATGAATGATAGGTATGGTACCCCATTTTTTAGAAAGGTACCGGAATTGTCACCTACCAATTATTATCTTTACGGGCTCACAAGTCATACCTACAGACATATGTTCCTTTACATTATATATACAGTGAATCAATACGTAAATGGAATTGCTTAACTTTAATTAGAAACACATTTTTTCTCTGTTTGCTTATCATTGTTTTATAGGGAAAAGGGTCAGATTGGGTCTCGAACTTACGAAAAATGTCAAATAAGGCTTATATAGAAGGTTCTGTCTGGCCGACGCCATTTGGGGCGGTTACCGGTGGAATTTTTGGATGACATTTTGTGAGCATCTTACTCATTAAGTCTAGTTTACTCATACCAAGTTTCAGCTAAAACTTCAATCCGGAAGGCATTCAAATAAATTCTTGAAGATGACTGCGCTTTTAACTGCGCACTTATCTTCAAGAATATATTTGAATATATTCCCGATTGAAGTTTTAGCTGAAACTTGGTATGAGTAAACTAGACTTAGAATAAGATGCTCAAAAAGTTATATTGAAAAATTCCACCGGGAAGCGCCCCAAATGACATCGGCTGGACAGAACTACCTATATAAGGCCTTATTTGATATTTTTTGTAAGTTCGAGGCCCTATGTGACCTTTTCCCCTTGTTTTATATATGTATTGTCTACAGAAATAATAGAATAATTAAAGTTTAGAAAATCTCGCATATGGATTATAAGTAGTAATATGCAGTAATATTTTATAAGATGAATGGCGTGTTTGGGGGAAGGGAAAAGCATGTGAGGGTTAATAATTAAAAGCCTTCTATTTGTTTTTGGAAATTTAAACATTTGAAAAGGATGATTTTACAAGGGTTTTATAACACTCTCCGAAATCATTGAAATGTTCAATTTTTAAGTTTCACCAATTTGAAAGTTTTTGAGAGAGATAACAAAACAATTAATAATAATCTTAACTAAATTTATAATGAATACAAGTTCAACTATTTGAGTTCAATATATATATATATATATATATATATATATGTATATGTATATAGTCATTTTCATGTCCACCAGCCTTCCTTCCGAACACCGCCGATTAGGGTGGTTCCCGATGAAATGTTTTGTTGAATTTTTTTGAGCATGTTCCTCATCAAGCCTAGTTTATGCATACCAAATTTCAGCTTAAAATTCGATCGGGAAGACAGTCAAACAATTTATTGAACTTAACTGCGCAAAATTGTACATAGAAAAACGCAGTCAACTTCAAAAAATGATGTGAATGCCTTCCCGAATGAATTTTGAGCTGAAATTTTTTGTGTATAAACTAGACGTGATGAAAAATATACCATAAAAATTTAATAAAAAAATTCGACCGGGAACCGCCCCAAACGGCGGTGTTCGGACGGTGTTCGGACCGGGGCTGCTGGACCTGAGAATATATATATAACTTAAGCGGTGTTAATTACTACATATAATTTTACGGAGTCCAAACGAAAATTAGATTTTTTTCACTTCCTCTCCCATTCATCACTCATGGTTATTCTTAAAATCTTTCCCTTCATCCTCCAAACTCCCGAACACAGCCTAAAGAAATAACAAATCAATTCGATCACCTTAGCTTTATAATATGGAGTATGTGTCTTACCAGGAGTAGGAGCAGGAGTAGTAGGACTGGGAGTTCGATCCACTGAAATTTCATAAAGGGGGCGAGGAATTCATAATCAAAGTCATAATAAGTGTACACTTTGATTACTTTATGTGTCCAACCGAAAGTAGAGTAATAATTACTACCATACATACGAAGTTAATGTCTTACCAAGGAAAGGAGGAATAGGAGCAGGAGGTTGGGGGCTCACTGAAATTAAATAAGGTTTCCCAAAATAAAACAAAACTTGTTAGCCTTTCATTCCATGCATGGAGTAATTAATGATACCTACTATTCCTTCGCCCCACTAAAGATGAGATACGGCAAATTTAAAAAAAGTGTTTTATGTAGTTTATATTAAATTGATAAATATAAATAAAGTAAAAATGATTTAAATCTACATAAATTTTACCAAAATTTGGTATGAGAAAAACTTAGTGGGACAAAAGGAAAAAATAAAATTGGACAACTTTAGTGGGAGGAGAGGGTAATACTTTATTATCTTGTCTCCTTTTAGTTAAAAATCTTTTGTTTTTGAGGTCAATGATGCGAAATATTGACTAATTACACTTTCATAGGGAGTATGTAAGTTCTAATAATATAAAAATGATATAGAAATGTTGTTTATCAATAATATTTATCATAAAAGGAAAAGTTGTTAACTAAGTAGGGTATGCCAGGGAGTAATAAAACAATATACTCTGTATCCTACAATTCAGGAAATTAAATAAAAAATCCACCAGCTTTAAATATAGAGAAAATTATCCCTCTTATGACTAAAAGAACATAATGTTCCTGATATATGACTCTTTTAGTTTTTTCCCTAGTGTGATGCTCTCATATTATAGATGGTACTACGTGCTTTTATTATTTATTTTAATTCCATTGATGTCCTCCAACCAATACTTAATAAGTAGTTATTTTCTCCTAAACATAAGGAATTAAATAGTTTTGCAATAGGTCTCCTAATAATAAGGAAGCAAATCCTCATAAAACGTAAAATGAACTTTCTTCTCCCGAAAAATTAGGAATTTAGAATTTACTTACATTTTAATCACATATCATTATCTTCATATAACGCCACATTAAATAATTCCTCAACCTTAAATTATTCCTCAACCTTACATATTTTTAAAAAATAAGCATTTTGAATAAAGTTAAATATAAGCATGCAGCCATGCAGGCAATAATTTAATTTACTGTCAAACAAATTTAATTTACGGTCCAATAATACTTTTCACATATTCAATTTATTGTCCAAAAACATGTATTCCACTTCACAAAGACATTCAATAAGCATTCAATTTACTGTCTATAACACTAACTAAACTATTTAAAAAATAATAATTAAACTTGTTCAACTTAATTCATATACACATACACATACCTGCTCCATTGTCGACCGTTATAAAAGTTGGACTGACCACGTCAGCATCACCTGAATTGAAAAGTAATTTCGAGTATCATTTAACAATAACAATTAGGTAGATTCTATGGTACTCATAGGGTATCATACCTTTGTCCACATGGTACTTTTGAGAATGATACCTTTCTAATAAAGTGATGTGGTCCAAACAAATGAATGATAGGTATGGTACCCCATTTTTTAGAAAGGTACCGGAATTGTCACCTACCAATTATTATCTTTACGGGCTCACAAGTCATACCTACATACATATGTTCCTTTACATTATATATACAGTGAATCAATACGTAAATGGAATTGCTTAACTTTAATTAGAAACACATTTTTTCTCCGTTTGCTTATCATTGTTTTATAGAGAAAAGGGTCAGATTGGGCCTCGAACTTACGAAAAATGTCAAATAAGGCTTATATAGAAGGTTCTGTCCGGCCGACGCTATTTGGGGCGGTTACCGGTGGAATTTTTGGATGAAATTTTGTTAGCATCTTACTCATTAAGTCTAGTTTACTCATACCAAGTTTCAGCTAAAACTTCAATCCGGAAGGCATTCAAATAAATTCTTGAAGATGACTGCGCTTTTAACAGCGCACTTATCTTCAAGAATATATTTGAATATATTCCCGATTGAAGTTTTAGCTGAAACTTGGTATGAGTAAACTAGACTTAATGAATAAGATGCTCAAAAAGATATATTGAAAAATTCCACCGGGAAGCGCCCCAAATGACATCGGCTGGACAGAACTACCTATATAAGGCCTTATTTGATATTTTTTTGTAAGTTCGAGGCCCTATGTGACCTTTTCCCCTTGTTTTATATATGTATTGTCTACAGAAATAATAGAATACTTAACGTTTAGAAAGTCTCGCATATGGAGTATAAGTAGTAATATACAATAATATTTTATAAGATGAATGGCGTGTTTGGGGGAAGGGAAAAGCGTGTGAGGGTTAATAATTAAAAGCCTTCTATTTGTTTTTGGAAATTTAATCATTTGAAAAGGATGATTTTAGAAGGTTTTTATAACACTCTCCAAAACCATTCAAATGTTCAATTTTTAAGTTTCACCAATTTGAAAGTGTTTGAGAGAGATAACAAAACAATTAATAATAATTTTAACTAAATTTATAATGAATACAAGTTCAACTATTTGAATTCAATATATATATATATATATATATATATATATAGTCATTTTCATGTCCAGCAGCCTTCCTTTTGAACACCTTCGTTTGGGGCGGTTCCCGATGGAATCATTTGTTGGAATTTTTTGAACATGTTCCTAAGCAAGTCTAGTTTATGCATACCAAATTTCAGCTTAAAATTCGATCGGGAAGACAGTCAAACAATTTATTGAACTTAACTGCGCAAAATTGTACATAGAAAAACGCAATCAACTTCAAAAAATGATGTGAATGCCTTCCCGGATGAATTTTGAGCTGAAACTTTTTGTGTAGAAACTAGACTTGATGAAAAACATACCATAAATATTTGATTAAAAAAATCGACTTGGAACCGCCCCAAATGGCTGTGTTCGGACGATGTTCGGACCGGGGTTGCTGGACCTGAGAATATATATATATACTCCCTTCGGTTCTTATTAAAGTTCCCACTTTCTTTTTTGGGATGTCCCTTATTTAAGTTCACACTTCCATTTTAGGAAACAAAACAGTGCAAAACAGTGTCAAACAGTGCCAAACAGTGTCCAAACAGTGCCAAACAGTGCCAAACAGTGTCCACAGTAAAGCCAAATTCATTTTCTTAAGAACCGGAGAGAGTATAACTTAAGCGGTGTTAATTACTACATATAATTTTACGGAGTCCTAACGAAAATTAGATTTTTTTCACTTCCTCTCCCATTCATCACTCATGGTTATTCTTCAAGGCGTTTTACCAAAACACAGGAAAAGTGGGATATACTTGCCAAAAAACGGGGATTTTGTAGGGTTTACCAAAATATGAGAGTCGGAACTGCAACTTCCGACCAGGGATTAGGGTTTCGAAAAAACAATTTCCTCCCTCCAGTCGGATTAGCCAATTCCGACGGGGTTTTTTTTTTTTTTTTTAATTTTTGGCCGCTTTTCATTTTCAAAGTTTTTTAAAACTAAACTTTTAAATTCTCTCATGTCGGATCTACCACTTCCGACTAGGAAGTTTTTATTATTTTTTAAATTAAAGTTTTTAATTTCCAACTAAAGTTTTAAACTAAATTGGCCAATTTCATTCATGTTTAAATTTTTAAATTGGCCGAATTTCTCTTTTTTTAATTAGTCGCCAATTTAATTTTTAAATTGGCCTAAAGTTATAGTTTTTAATTTTATTTTTTTAAATCCATTTGTATTGTGCATAAAATTCATAAAATGAGATACAAATTTGAATTTGTTTTAAATGCGATTTGTAAATTTAATGAAATTGAACAAAACAAATGTAGGTTTCAATGTAATTTATTAATAAATAGATAGTACATACAATAATATAAATTTAATGATACTACATCTAACGTTGCGTGCTCGGCCCTGCTCCGTCCCCACCGCTAGTGTTCCAAGGCTCCATTGTGTCTCCATAGTAAAACGACGACGAATCCAGAAATGAATCAACATAATCAACCGCTTGTGTGGAGTACTGATAAGAATCATAATACGGCGGTGGTTGATCAAATGAGACACCTTGATGCGTTGAGAATTGAGGGGGTGGTTGATCAAATGAGACACCCTCACGTGTTGAAAATTGAGGGGGCGATTGTGAGTGCTCACCCCCACCTTCATGTTCATCTGCATCATCCTCTTCGTCACTTCCACTTTCATCTTCATCTTCATAATGGAATATGCCCCGGCGGAGCATCTCTTCATCACCTACGTCCAGGGCCATCCGCTGTAGTCGTTTTTGACAGTCCTCATGACTTGCGCTGTCGGCTAAGAGCTGATTCAGCTCGTAAAAGCTTTGCCTCTGCATAAAAATGTAACACTTGTAAATAATATGACATGATATATGTTAATGAATATAGTATGTATTCAAAAACTTACCACAATACCCCAATCGTGTGATGTCGGGATGTAACCTGTCGTGGGCACATTGTGAGAAGGGTTCTGGACACGTGTCATACCATGCTTCTGGTACCATTTTCGGTACCTCTTAGTTGCTTCGACGGACATATGTCGATCATAATCAAGAAAGTATATATTATGTTGTATGTCCGCCCACAACGTCAAGGCACCGGTTACTATGTTGGAACGATTGCCGTGATGATCAGTATCCGCCAAAGGAGCATCCGGAGTATCTTGCCTTATATGGAACTGCCGAAGAAATCGATCGGGGTAATGCATTTCGGCCATATTGCAAAATATGAGCATGACCCTAGCCGACCAAAGCGGAGCGTCATTAAGGATGATAGGTGGGAGTTCCTCGGACGCGTAGGGAGTGAAATCAAATTGTAAAAATTTTAATTTGCAATTTAACCACTATAAAACAATGTGTATTAAAAATTGAATAGTACGGTGGAAGTAAAAATTTGAAGTACTACCTGACTCTCACTCATTCGGTCTAGGTCATCCCGGTACAGGCGTATGCAGTGTCTTGGGGATCCCTTATATGACTTGGGGACGATCCACCTACATTTATTTATTACCGAAATGAATTTAAAAACTCTAACGTCATATAACGCATTCTCAATTATTAAGATGTAATTGCCAACATACCTGCACCCATATGGAAGATGGTCATGTTGAATGACCTGAACTACTGAGGGACGGACCATCGAAATCCTCGACCAAGCCCAAATCTGTAACAAATGCATACAACCGCCAACTTGTTTGGTTTCCCACTTGGCGCCGTTGCACAAGTTATGGTAGAGGTACCCGAGAACCGCTGATCCCCAACTCCATCGACGGGCTAAAGCCAAGTCACCCTGCAAGACCTCCAAAAAGTATAATCATATTCTTGTCCCACTCGTGTCAGGGAACAAAAGGCCTCCAAGCAATTGCCATATTAGGGTTCTGGTGTGTTCGGTGACCTCTTCGTCTGTACTGTCAGGTAGGATCTGGTGACGGGTAAGAGCACTCATGGTGATATCACTCGTGCGCATATCAGTCTCTAGAGGAGTGAAACCACACGACTGCGTGCACAGGTCGATCCACTGAGCCTTACCCTTAACGGTTGGACCACTGAGGGGCATACCCCGAATGGGCAAACCAAGGATCATCGCCACATCTTGTAGACTAATGCTGACCTCACCGAATGGAAGATGGAAAGTATGTGTCTCTGGCCTCCATCTCTCCACCAAAGCGCATATTAAACTATGATCCACCTTCATACGGGCAATGTGCTCTACCCCCAAGAAGCCAGCATATGCTAACATACCTTATCACTCTTGGATCTCGCTCTTCAACTCCGAATGCAGCTGAAGGGCAACTGACGCATTTCAAGCACGAGTCTTTGGAATTTGGTTCATACCATATACGGTCCGTACGATGGGCACGCAATGGCAACGTGAGTAGTGTACGGTTAACAAGCCCTGGGCGCGGAATGTTTTGCTCCATTTGAAATTCCTAAAATAAGTAGTTATAAATTACTAAATTCGAAATTTAACACAAATTCTAAATGTAACACAATTTTTAAATTTGTAGATCTTTATAGCTAAATTGAACTCTAAAATTCTAATTTCACAACCTAACACAAAAAAATTAAAAATTACTAAAGTAACAACTTGTAACGTCATAAAATCGAATTTTAACTCAAATTCTAAATGTAACACAATTTCTAAATTTCTAGATTTTTATAGCTAAGTACAACTCTAAACTTCTGATTTCACAATGTAGAGTAAAATTCTAAATTCACAATCTAAATTAAAATCTTAAAAGTTACCAAAATAACTAGTAATTTTGAAATTCGAAATAACTATAATTGCGAAATTAAAATCTTAAATTCGACTATTTAAATTAAAGAGTAAATTCGAATTTCACAATGTAAATTAAAAAATTTACAAATTACTAAATTAACTACTTCTACACTCCTAAAACCGAAATTTAAGGGAAATTCTAAATGTTACACACTTTCTAACTTTCAAGTATTTTATAGCTAAATGTTACTCTAAAAGTCCAATTTCACAATCTAAATTAAAAAATTTATAAATTACTAAATTAACTACTTCTACACTTTTAAAACCGAAAATTAACTAACCTGGAAATTTGGCTGATCACAAAGGTTTGATTTGCTAGTAGGTGCTCTTGCTTGGGATTCATTAGTGAAGCAGATGATTATCTAGAGTACTCCATACCTCTCATAGCTAAGTACAACTCTAAACTTCCGATTTCACAATGTAGAGTAAAATTCTAAATTCACAATCTAAATTAAAATCTTAAAAGTTACCAAAATAACTAGTAATTTTGAAATTCGAAATAACTATAATTGCGAAATTAAAATCTTAAATTCGACTATTTAAATTTAACGCAATTTCTAAACATCTACAATTTCAACTATTATAAATAATAAAAAGTTAAAATTAAAGAGTAAAATTCGAATTTCACAATGTAAATTAAAATATTTACAAATTACTAAATTAACTACTTCTACACTCCTAAAACCGAAATTTAAGGGAAATTCTAAATGTTACACACTTTCTAACTTTCAAGTATTTTATAGCTAAATGTTACTCTAAAAGTCCAATTTCACAATCTAAATTAAAAAATTTATAAATGACTAAATTAACTACTTCTACACCTCTAAAACCGAAAATTAACTAACCTGGAAATTTGGCAGATCACAAATTTTGATTTGCTAGTAGGTGCTCTTGCTTGGGATTAAGTGGGGATTCTTGATCCAACCGGCTCGGCTCTATTTATATAAAAAAAATTAGTTGGGAGTTCTTGAGTGGTCCACACTTCTATTAAATAAAAGTTGGTATGAGTTGGAGCAATGAGCAGTACGATCCGTGTGGTATTGAGTAATTAGTGGTATTGAGTTGTCCACACTTCTATATTGGTATTGAGTTGGAGCAAGGAGCAATGAATCCATTAAATAAAAGTTGGAATTGAGTAATTAGTGGTCCACACTTCTTCTGCTTTTCCTTGAACCACGCAAATCCATTTCATTAGGAAATCGAGTTCTCTGTGGCCTACCGGCTCTAGCCGATCTATTGTTTGGGGGCGGGAGAAGTGTATGCGATGTTTCTGCCATGAAATTGAGGTAATTATTAATAGGCATAATATCGGAAGCGTACGTTCGGATGTAAGCATTTAAGGAATACACAGCTGGGATGAGGCTGTCTACGGTTATTTTTAAAAACCGACAAACCGCATACGCGTGAACACATGGCATCCCGTTCTGCTTCCAATACTCACACCCACATTCCTGCCTTGTCAGATCGATTGTCACTGGATCATGCGAACCAATAGCTACAGAGTAAATTCCCGTTGTTCGATTGTGCGGGACAATAGTTGTGTGATACCTACGCTGTGACCGCTCAAGAACATCCTTCCATATGTTCTGTGGATACAAGAATCCAGCTTGGTGCCACATTATTCCCGCATTTCGTCGATCGGCAAATAGTTGGACGACTTTATCGAATGTGGCCTTTACTAGTGCTGTGATAGGCAATGTGCGGCATCCCTTTAAGACATTGTTAAAACTTTCAGAAAGGTTTGTCGTCAAAATGCCATATCTTTTGCCATCGTCATAGCTCAGGGCCCACATCTCAACAGGAATCTCATTCAAATATAGAAAAACACTCTCATTTATGTCTCGTATTTGTTGCATACAGTCGTGAAATTCTTGTTCTGTGGGAGTGCTACCAGCTTGCCAACATAATTTTTTCAGTTCCGCGTTCCTAAACTTGGTCATGAAATTACTCCGTATGTGACGGAGGCAATAACGCTTTGAAACTTGTGGCGATCTCAACTCTCGCAAGGCTCTAAATGCACTTTCAATTCCTGCATGACGATCAGAGATAATGCACACACTACGGTGATTTCCAACCACATCACGCATAACCCTTGCAAAGAACCACGACCAGCTGTCAGCATTCTCACTCTCAACAACAGCATATGCAAGAGGAAATATCTCACGGTTAGCATTCATGGCTACCGCAACTAGAAGAACTCCCTTGTATTTGCCATATAAGTGAGTGCCATCAACCGAGACTACGAGTAAGCAAAATCTAAAACCGTCTATAGAAGCCTTGAATGACCAGAACACTCGGCGGAATTCAGACGTATCAGGAGTGCCGGCCTGTTGTGATTGCAAATGAACAACAGTCCCCAGATTTGAAAACTGTATAGATTCCAACAACATAGGAAGTTCATTATATGATGCCTCCCAATTGCCAAATTTACGCTCCAGAGCGATCAAGCGTCCATTCCAAGCTTTTTTTTATATGAAACACGGATATTAAATTTTTCATATATGTCTGACATTATCAGTTTCATGCTGTAGTCCGGGTCGACTTTCACTTTTGGAGCGATTTCACTGGCTATAATTTTGGCCGTTAGGAGCCTGTCATCCCGAGCCATGACAGGATCCTCCCTACAACTGTGATGGGGTTGATATTTTTTTACTTTCCACTTTTTTGACGTCATACCTTTTCCTGCTTGGATATGCCAAGTGCAAAGGGTCGGGTCTATGCAAACCGCCTTCCAGGACCGTGGCCTTTTGTCAACCGTTCTGAATTGACGAAATTGACGAATGTTTTCTCTCGCCACCGCTTCTTTCAGTGCATCATATGAACAGTAAACTGCGCCTACTTCGATCCTTTCAGGCTCAGAATCTAATGCTTGAACATATGGTTCTTCTAGCTCCACATTAGCCCAGGTGGTGTCTACTACGTCGTCACTATCATCGCTCGTGGATGAATCGACATCACTACTAAAACCTTGTTCATAGTCTGGGTCGTCCGACTCTTCACCCAAGTTTGTGACTGTACAAAGTAGATACATTCATAAATTTCAATATTATTATTTGGGACAAATTATTAATTTAACACAATTCTTGAATTTCTAGAATTGAACACAATTCCTTGTAACACACTATCTAAAATAAAATAAAATTATGGTTTGAATTTTTTGGTTTTAATTTATCGGAATATATAAAATTTTTAAGTTTATTTGAAGTATAAAATCTTTTTGTGCTCTGGTTGGATTTGGGTGTTCCGACAGGAGTTTTGAAATTTTATGCGCTATATACAAATTTTAAGTTTATTTGAATAATAAAAACTTTTTGTGCTCTCGTCGGATTTGGGTGTTCCGACAGGAGATAAAATTTTAATTTTTTTTAAAATTCCACTTCGACTTCAGGTTATTTCATTTATTTGAACTAGAATGTGTTTCTTGTGTAATTAGATAGAAGTATTGAATTTGTGCAGATGAGACGGACAGATAGCCAATTTTTACTCTGAAATTCCTATTTAACAATCTAAATTAAAAAATTTACAAATTACTAAATTAACTACTTCTACACTCTTAAAATGACAACAAATAAAACCAAATCATTGTAAATTCTATTTAACTTGAACAACACATACCAGGAGATTCGTAGTTCTGAAACGTTTGGCGGTTGTTCCTCCGACCATATACGGATGATGGGCCTTCCTCTCTGGGAGTTCCGTGGAACGTCAAAGTTTGTGGCGGGGTCGCTGAAGCTTCCACGTAAACGTGCAACTCCTCATACTCATTTTTAGCGATCCGGAAAAAGTGACGCCATGTCTGCTCATCGTGAATGGGCCATAGTCTAGAAGCAACATATACAGAATTCTTATATTTTGGCAATTTTCCGTAAAGTAATTTAATTTCGGAAAATCCGTCGCCTCTAACATGATTTAGAACATTCTCATGTATAGTAGTATAATCATCTGCTTCACTAATGAATAGTACCGCCCTAGGAGGTATGGAGTACTCTATTTCATCATCTTTTTGAGATGTAGAGCCATTCCAATGAACCATAACAACAATATTTCCCTCACTAGACATTTTTATATGAGAGAAGAATGCCTAAACAGAAAATGTAATAAATATATCAAGAGAGAAAGAAGGATTATTTTTTGGAGTGAAAATTTTGAAAAGAAATGAACTCATTTTATAGGAGCTATTGGGGTACGTACGGTGACCATATAAATGCAGTTGGTAGAATAAAGGAATACAAATAAAACACGTAGTGCAAACAATAAAATGAAAACAAAACTCTTGGTCAGATTTCCAAATTCCAACCGAGTATTAATTAATTTAGAACCAAAAGCCCCGCTTTTTGGTAAAAAACTCCCAAATATACGAGTTGGTTGGTAAAATGTTCGAACCACAATTAAACACGTCATTTTTTAAAAAATATATCAAAATACCCTAGTCGGATTTCCCAATTCCGACTAGGTTTTTAATAAATTTTATCCGCTTTAACCCATTGTTTTAAAAAAAATCAAAAATACCCTAGTCGGATTCCCCAATTCCGACTAGGTTTTTTTAATTAAATTGGCACTTACCTCTAGTCGGATTGCCCAATTCCGACTAGGGTTTCAACCCTAATTCGGGACTTCTCCTCCAGTCGGAATTGCCAATTCCGACTACCGTAATTTGGTAACCTAAACGGAACTCCCGTATTTTGACTTGTCAGACGGGAGATTCTCGTAATTTGGTAATTTCTTCTATTCTTCAAATCTTTCCCTTCATCCTCCAAACTCCCGAACACAGCCTAAGGAAATAACAAATCAATTCGATCACCTTAGCTTTATAATATGGAGTATGTGTCTTACCAGGAGTAGGAGCAGGAGTAATAGGACAGGGAGTAGGACCCACTGAAATTTTTTAAAGGGAGCGAGGAATTCATTATCAAAGTCATAGTAATTGTACAATTTGATTACTTTATGTGTCCAATTGAATGTAGAGTAATAATTACTACCATACATACGATGTTAATGTCTTACCAGAATACCAGGGGAAGGAGGAATAGGAGCAGGAGGTGGGGGCTCACTGAAATTAAATAAGGTTTCCCAAAATAAAATAAAACTTGTTAGCCTTTCAATTCCATGCATGGAGTAATTAATGATACCTAGTATTCCCTTCGCCCCACTAACAATGAGATACGGCAAATTTAAAAAGTGTTTTATGTAGTTTATATTGAATTGATAAATAAAAATAAAGTAAAAGTGATTTAAAGCTACATAAATTTTACCAAAATTTGGTATGAGAAAAACTTAGTGGACAAACCGAAAAAATAAAATTGGACAACTTTAGTGGGACGAGAGGGTAATACTTTATTATCTTGTCTCCTTTTAGTTAAAAATCTTTTGTTTTTGAGGTCAATGATGCGAAATATTGACTAATAACAGTTTCATATGGAGTATGTAAGTTCTAATAATATAAAAATGATATAGAAATATTGTTTATCAATAATATTTATCATAAAAGGAAAAGTTGTTAACTAAGTAGGGTATGCCAGGGAGTAATAAATCAATATACTCTGTATCCTACCATTCAGGAAATTAAATAAAAAATCCACCAGCTTTAAATATAGAGAAAAGTATCCCTCTTATGACTTAAAGAACATAATGTTCCCGATATATGACTCTTTTAGTTTTTTTCCCTAGTGTGATGCTCTCATATTATAGATGGTACTACGTGCCTTTATTATTTATTTTAATTCCATTGATGTCCTCCAACCAATACTTAATAAGTAGTTATTTTCTCCTAAACATAAGGAATTAAATAGTTTTGCAATAGGTCTCCTAATAATAAGGAAGCATAGTCTTGCCATAAAGTACACATGATCATTTCACCACTACATTATAGCATAATACATTTAATTAATTAATAAAGAAATCTTTTCAAGTTGTAAAGATACTTAATTAATGCAGTATGAAAAACAACGACAGTGAATGACATCACCTGAGATCTTTCATCCAAAATGCTACCTTTTTCAAAGGTTAGATAGTAATGTTTACTTTTTTATTATGTGGTAAAAAAAGGAGGCTTGTAATTTGACATAAACACTTACCAACTAAAACATCAGTACGGAGATTACCACTTAATATCTCACTGAATTTTTTAAAGCTATAGTAATCTTTGGGTATATCAGGCAGTTCTTGATGTTTTAGTGTTGTACCACTTGTAAATTGGAGCTTGAATGGATGATCACATGCCTTGAACTGTCCTTCATTGCACAGTACTTTGAAGTTTTGCATCACATAAGTTTCATTTTCTTTGAGCTTTGACTTCCAGGTTAGCACCTCTGCATTTCTTGCAACCGCCTGTATCTTACATCCCTAATTTATGAGAATTGTTGATAAGTTATTAATCACTTTAATTGTTAGAGCATTTAATTTCATTTAAGCATTAAAAAATAAGATAATCAGACCTTTGCGTCCATTAACACCATTTCAATGAACTTCGAAGGAGTCTGGACAGAACAAAGTGATATAACCCTCACTGCAATCTTCCATGTCTCTTTGGTGTCATTGATCTCTTCAATGGTGCTTATTTTACGGTTTTTTTTTTGAAAAAAAAACGTAAAATGAACTTTCTTCTCCCGAAAAATTAGGAATTTAGAATTTACTTACATTTTAATCACATATCATTATCTTCGTATAACGCCACATTAAATAATTCCTCAACCTTAAATTATTCCTCAACCTTACATATTTTTAAAAAATAAGCATTTTGAATAAAGTTAAATATAAGCATGCAGCCATGCAGGCAATAATTTAATTTACTGTCAAACAAATTTAATTTACGGTCCAATAATACTTTTCACATATTCAATTTATTGTCCAAAAACATGTATTCCACTTCACAAAGACATTCAATAAGCATTCAATTTACTGTCTACAACACTTTGAATTATTGCCATTATCATATATTTTCCTATAATGCACACACACAAAAACACATATTGTCTAAAATTTACTGTCTCGAAAAACTCAAATCATTTATAATAACCCATAAATGACACATAAAAGATTCTCGAAATAACACATACTCCAAAAAAATTACGGGATTAACATGGAATTTGGCACGGATTTACCAAATTTTCATGCCAAATAGCTCGAGCCAAAGTGTTTTTGGCACGGATTTGTCATATCCCTGCCAAAATCTCTGTCAAATCCCTGTCAAAATTTCCGTCAATTCCATGTTTTTTTGTAGTGTGTGTTTAGTAGTGCAAGCAGAATAGGAGATATAGATACACGCACAAATTCATTGATGTGTCATTTAATTTGTATATAATATAAATACATAACTGGATCCGTGTCTGTGCAAGTGTGAACTTTAGACTTATTTGAATTTCTCATCAAACGGCTCTCAGTCGGGTCTGAATCTAATTTTGATCTATTGAAAGACCTAAAGCCCATGATCCACTTTAATTAATTACATGATCCAATGGTATGGAAACAAATTAAAGGTCCGTATATGGAAATGGCACATGACCGTGCAAATATGGGTAAATGTCAAATAGAGAACAAAAGGTTTTGATGGGATTTCCATTGGGAACGACCGTGCAAATATGGTAAACACAGTTGGTTAAGTTTTAGAGACTTCAGGAAAAAGTGAGTTTTGAGGAAAATTCGCATGTCATAATTGTAAATGACAAAACCATAATTATGTATGTAATTAAATGAAGGGGCATTCTAGCTAGATACAAATGTTATATTAGGAAAGCAAATGATATGTTATCTTTTGGTATCTTCATCTATATAACTCCAGTCTAGCTTCGATGTTCACTCCACTCATCACTGTTGTAGCATGCACTAGTTTACTAACTTGTTTAGTCTCACGTTTCCTTCAACTCAAAGCTTCAATTCCCTTTAATTTTACTCAAGAGTTCTCATATCACCAAGCTTAAAATGGGTTTTGGTGTCAAAAGGATGATGCTCCTAGTCATCACACTTGTTACATCCATTGTCATGACCAAAGCCGGTAAACACTCACACCTGATGTTATGTGTTCTAATTCTTTTTCTTATTATATATTGCAAGTGTGCAATTATTTCTAAATTACTTCTCTACTCTTTATTAGTGAGTGCAGAGAGTGTGTTTGTTCATGACCCCTCACATGCTGTTGACAGTATCAATGGTTAGTGTTAATATTTATGTTTTATGTACGTATAAATTGATCGCTCTGTCAAGTTTCAACATACAATTATGTTCTTGTTAATTGGGTTGGAATAAAAAGCATTGTACGTTCTAATTACTTGAGCATTTATGTAGGGTATTCTCATATCTCGACTGGTCCTTTCTCCCCAAGGGTAATTTGCATCGTGAATTTTTTGGAGGAAACTCCCAAAAAGAGGGAATTTTGTGTCTGACACGCCAAAATACGGGAATCACAATTAGGTTACCAAAATACGAGAATCGGGTGTTCCGACTACGGGTAAGGTTTATTTTCTAAACCACTCCTCCTGCCGGAATTGGCAAATCCGACAAGGGGAGTACCATTTATTTTTTTAAAAAAATTATATATTCCGGATGAATTAAAAAAAAAAAATCAATTTTATTCCTGTCTGAAATGGTAAATCCGACTAGGGGATTTTTTTAGAAATTTTATATTCGAAGATACATACGTGTTCAATTTTTAACCATATTTTTTACCTAACAAATATTTTATTTAATTTTAACAAATTTTATATTCGAAGATACATACGTGTTCAACTTTTAAACTATTTTGTTTTGTTCACTTCCATTAAAATTACCAAAATTGCATCTAAAACAAAATCAAATTTGTATTTCATTTTATGAATTTTATTCACAATATAAATGGATTAAAAAATAATATAAAGTAATCAATGTTTTGTTACTCAAAAAATATACTCCGTAGTATTCATTTTAAAAAATATGACAGGAATTTTTAAAAACTTATAAATTCGGAATTAACAATTCCGACAGGAATTTAGAAGTTTACTTTTTAAAAACTTTTAAAATTAAAAACTTTTACAATTTAAAAAAAAATATTCAGAATTAACAATTCAGCCAGCCAGGAATTAAAAAAAAACTAGTCGGAATTGGCAAATCCGATGGGAGGGTAATCTGATCTATTTTTTAAAAAACCCTATCTCTTATCGGAAGACCCAATTCGGACTCTCGCTTTTTGGTAAAACCTAGTTTTTTGCCCGCATTTTGGGAAGCCATGTTACACGTTCCCGTATTTTAATATAAAACCCTATCCCTTGTTCCATATAAAAAAATTGATTCTCTTAGAAAATCTATTTTAAGCCTTTTTAAAAAAGGCGATATTGATATCATATAAAATATCATACTCCCTCCGTCCCTAAATAAAAGCATCTGTTTCCTTTTCAGGTTGTCCCTAAATAAAAGTTCCTTTTCCTTTTTGGCAAATAAAACAGTGTCAAACAGTGCCAAACAGTGTCAAACAGTGTCCAAACAGTACCGACCAAATCCACTTTTTAAGATGTGTGTAAAATGAATGGAACTTTTATTTAGGGATGGAGGTAGTAAAACATTAAAAATATTATTGATATATTTTTTGGGGTGAAAAAAATTGTTCTTTTGTTCTCAATAGAGTTGAGGTAACTACTTTTCATAGGAGTTGTTATGCACCCTCCATACTACATTAATTTCAATTCGCATGTGTGATATGATGTGTCATGTGTCTATATATATAGTACACTCTCAGCTCAAACCTCTCGATCATCCTTTCAGCGCCCTAAAACCTCTCATTCCAAACCAATTTGATCTCTAGATAGTGTTTAATATTTTGAAAACTGAAGTTGAAAATGTCTCTCTTTGGGATATTACCGTCGCTGTTATTTGTGTGTTTTCTCCTCATCAAATGTGATGGTAACTACTCTGCCTATTATGTTGTTGTTGATTGCGTAGAATTGTACGTACGTTCTGATTACTTGAGCATTTATGTAGGGTATTCTGAGATCTCGACTGGTCCTTTCTCCCCAAGGGTAATCTGCATCCTGACTTTTATTTGCTTCGTAAATTTGGTGTAGGTTAGATATATATAGTGTTAAGAAGATGATCTTTTATGTATGCATGGGTCTTTGAAAATTAAATATAATGGTGCAGCAGGTTAGTACAGAGGGGAGTTGCAACCTCAACATTGTCTTCAACCTTCTGATTGACTGTGTTCCGTTCTTCTCGGGGACATCTTCCATTCCAGCAGTGGCATGTTGCTCTGGAGTTGAATTGGCACTAAAACCAGAAGGTGATTGCTTATGTGATGGCCTCACTCATCTCTTCACTCATTCTGGGTTGCTGTTTAATGTCTCCCGGGGACTTGATCTCCTCAACGCATGTTCCTGTCCTGCAGTATCTTACTCAATCATCTCCAACTGTGGTAAGTATATAATAAATAAAAACGTTCATTAGTGCATGCATGGAATTATAACTTATAAGCTTGACAAGTTTTGTTTTGAAAACCCTATTTAATTTTAGTGAGCCCCCCACCTCCTGCTCCTGTTCATCGTACCCCTGGTAAGACATTCACTACGTAGTAATTAGTGAAGTAAATTTTAATTACACTCGATCATTATGACTTTGATTATGATTTCCGCCTGTTTAAAATTACAGTGGTTCCCACTCCTAGTACTCCTGCTCCTACTCTCGGTAAGACACTTAACATTATAACTATAATTAATGCATGTAAGCAGTGGCGGACCCACTAAGGGTCCCACGGGTCCCGGGACCTCATGAACTTTCAAAAAAATACCTATATATATTATGTATTTTATATAAATTAATAATAAAATGTATATGTAAGGACAAAGTTGTATAAGAACATGAAGTTAGCGACGCACCAATGGATGCACCCTTGAATTTAAAATTTTGCAGCTCACAGAGGTACAGGGTTCGATTCCCTTAGGCGTCCCTTTTTGTTTTTATCCTATATATATATAGGAAAACAACTTTTTTTTGGCAAGGGAAAACAACATAAATAGTACTAAAACTAATACTTCCTTCGTTCCATAAAAGTCGCAACATTGAAATTTTTGCACTATTCACACACCTTACTTTGACTACGATTTTCTAATAATATATATATAAAAATATGATGTATAAAATATTAATAAATTTGTATTAATGTAAATTTCCAATATATTAACTTTTTTAATGTTTACTAATACGTAAATAAATATAATTACAGTCAAAGTTGCGCGTTGGCAAACGTGAAAGTCAAACTGTTGCAACTTTTATGGAACGGAGGATAGTACATAGCAATTCTTTACTAAAACATTAGTCATTTAATTCATAAAAAACTGGTATCAAAATAAAAAGTTAGTAAGCGTATTTTCGAATATTATTTATTGATTCGATTTTAGTTTTTAATGTCTTAAATTAGTGTTTTTTTTAAAAAGTGACTCCATTATATTTTGTTTTTGTTCTACACTAAAGTGTGTATTATTATTGGTTCATCGAAGATAGTTTGTATTATTTAAAGTTATTTTCCCTATTTATTATTATAAGGTGCCATAAATAACCGTTCGTTTAGAAAGTTATTGGAATAAACATACTATAATGATAGGATACTATTTTTCTATCCGTGACATAAATATTATTTTTCTAAACGAACGATTATTAATATTCTAAACGAACGGTTATTTATGTCAATTCATTTTCTAAACGACCTTAGTTTTATACTACGTATTAATTACATATTAGAGATATAAAAGGGTAAGGACCTCATAACTCCGAGTTTCTGCGTCCGCCACTGCATGTATGGTTAATTTCTTACTACGCATTTCTTTAATTATGGGATATATTATTGTTTGACTCCCTATCATTTAGTACTATGTCTATAATAAGAAATTAAAGTTCATTAGTGCATGCATGGAATCGGCTGACAAGTTTTATTTTGTGAAACCTTATTTAATTTCAGTGAGCCCCCCACCTCGTGCTCCTATCCATCCTTCCCCTGGTAAGACATTAACTACCTAGTCATTAATTTAATACTCTTTTCAACTTTCGATTGGAATACACATAAAGTGAAGCTTAGATTCTTTATGATTTTGACTATGACTTCCTCCCTTTTTTAAAATTGCAGTGGGTCCAACTCCGACTCCCAGTCCAATAGCTCCTACTCCTACTCCTACTCCTACTCCTACTCGTGGTAAGACACTTGATATAATAATTAAAGCTAAGGTATTCCGTATTACGTACGTATTACTCCCTCCCGTAAAATAGTTCTCACTTCCTTTTTGGGCCTTTTCATAAAATTGTTCTTATTTCCCTTTTTGGAAAGTTTTGTATGACTAACATTCATTTATCTTTTTCTTACTCAACCACAACCATACATTTTCACTTTATTCACAGTTTCTTAACTCCGATCCAAATTGAAATGGGTATCATTTTATGAGAGGGAGGTAGTATTCCGTATTTTAATCTTCAATGTGAATTATGTTTGAGTTCAGGTGATGCTAACTTGGTCAGTCCAACTTTTGTAACGGTTGACGATGGAGCAGGTATATATGTGTGTGTAAATATGATCAATAAAGTTGAACAAGTTTAGTTAGTGTTTCTTTAATAGTTTTATGCTTCCTTCATCCTCAATTAAGTTCTCAGTTTTACTTTTACGATTTTATAGGTAGACGTTTGATCATAATTTCTAAAAACATGTACTTATAAAATCTAATTTGAATTAATTAATATTGAATAATAATAAACGTAGTATATTCCAATGAAGTATATAAAGTTAATTTTGTTTGATAATGTAGTGTACATTATTATGAATGAATACTTAACGATCAAAGTTTATAAAATTTAACCCAAAAAGTACAACTAGGAACTGAATTATGAGACGAACAGAGTACTATTTATAATTTATTCAATCACGTTGAAGAAGTTGATAAAAAAATTAGATCATTAAGTATTGTACAGACTGTCTATTTAATTTAACATTTGAATTCAATGTATTAGTTTGCTTGGGGGGGAATAAGGCAGCATACTATTACGTCCCAGGATTCGGCAAAGGCGCTGAAAATTGGGTTGTGTATCTTCCTGTAAGCCACCTACCACCTACCATTGTTTTAAATAATATACTTCCATCCTATTTATTTTCGGACTTGAATTAGTATCACATTATTTATTCATAATTAATATTGAAATTAACTAATTGCATATTTATCCTTAAAAATGACATATTTATATATGTGCTCTGTGTTAACTTGTAGGGGGGCGGATGGTGTGGCAATGTTACTGACTGCGAAATGTATAATACCCTTAAAGGTGTGGGCTTGCCGGCACGTGCAACTCCCTTTGATGCTATTTTAAGCTCTAACGAGGAGAGCAATCCTGGTAAATATTTTGCAACTAGCTAATATAAGTTCATTTACTTTATTTATGTAAATCATATACTTTCTCGCTCCCAAATTGAGTTCCAAAATTGTTTTTTCGGATAAAACAGATTCATTTTATTCACCTAATTAGGATATTGATTCTTAATTAAGTTTTAATTTGGATTTTGCAACTTTAGAGATATTTTAATGTAGTTTCTGAAAAGGTAAATTTTAATTATTAAAATTCAATTAATTATCGATAGGGGATTTAACTTTAACATTGTTTGACAAAAATTGTTACTCTACAAAACAATCTAGATGGAGGTATATAGCAGAGCCTTTTTTAGGGGGTTCAATAGACTATCCAGAACAGGGTCCATCAGTTTTATGGGACCCCAAATTTTTAAATTTGTTTTAGTATTATATAGTAATATATTATACGAAGTATATTAATACTAATTAGTGAAATATAGTTAGCAAGAAAGAAAAATAGTTTATAGATTCATCATTTTTTTCGTTCATCCTTTTAGTTCTCTTTTACTCAAATTGTTTGAATAATGAGTTGAGTTGCTTCAAATCAAGTAATAAGCAAGTTTTAAAAATTTTATTATTACATTATTTAATGAGTATTCAATTGATTTGAGTATAAGTATTTGGATTGATTTTTTTTTTAATTTTTAATATTAATAAGGGGCCTCGATTTTATATTTGGAACCGTGACCCCCAAATTCATTACTCAAATTATATTTTTTTATACTATATACTCTCCCTGTCCCTTATAACTTTGCCAACTTTTCATTTTTGGATGTCCCACTAACTTTGTCACTTTCCCTTTTAAGTAAAGAATTTGTGGTTCCAGTTCATTCTCTCTCATCTGCACAAAACTCAAACACACAGTTTTTACTTTATTATTCCTCGTGCCGGTCAAACTTGGCAAATTTATTAGGGACAGAGAGAGTACTATATAGTACCTAGTATATTCTTTTCTAATGAGAAGTTTCAATTTTGTTTGAAAAATTCTAAAGGTACACACTTTTTGGTGTACACACTTTTTACACATGTCTGTGTAAGGTTTTTTTATGTCTGTACAGACATAACGTATTTTTAAAATACGTTATGTCTGTACAGACATAAAAAAAAAACTTACACAGACGTGTAAAAAGTGTGTACGCCAAAAGTGTGTACCCCAAGTCCAACTCATTTTGTTTATGTATGAAAACTGTCCAGATTTCTTTGATTGGAACAGAGTATCTCTTCGATATTGTGATGCATCTTCGTTCACCGGAAATTCTGAGATAACAACTGCACATGTACGAATTAATATATTAAGAAGCTCTTACATTGCTTATTATTACTTCACTTAGAATTACCACTACAACGTACAAAAATGGTCTTACCATTTGGGAGGCTTAAATATTTTATATTGTCTTTTTTCATGAATATTTAGAAATTAAAATCAAAATATAAAAATATGACTTATTTTAAAATTTTCCGAAAAAATTACAACATGTAGTGACTAGCTAGCTAGTTCACAATGACTCATATACATTGATTTCTCATTCCAAAATACTTTTTCACAATGACTGGTACCCAGTGGTCATACTTTTCTCCAACAAGATAACTAGTCTTACTTTTGTTCGGGGAAACTCTATTAGTATTATAGGCACACAACACATATATGATGGCTTTGATCCTATGAAATACTTCCCCCGTTCTTTTTTAATGGCAACGGTCCACTTTTCACGTTTGCTAATGTAAAAGTTTGACCATTAATAACTTTCATTCCATATTAGTAAAAGAAATTTAAAAAAATCTAATTTGAAAATTTAAAATGAGAGAAATTTAATTATTTTTTTAATAAATTTAATTTATAATCCATCAATAAATAAAATATAGTCAAAGTTGAATATGTTAATGGTGCAAAAAGTCCAACGTTGCATGCATGTTAACAGGAAATACACAAGTGCCCACAAAAGGTCAGTTTTATGCATGTAATTTGTACATGAACCATATAAATTTATACGAGACGTTGAATGATGTTATATACTAGAGTCAATATATATAAATTTATATATAGACTACAATACATTGTTTGTTTGATTTAAAATTCGTTTATTAGTGTATATATAGTCATATATATTGATATAAATATTTTTATACATACATTTAATTTGTTGAACTATCTTGCAGGGCACTAAGCTTTACTTTAGATATAATATATAAATATTGTGGATGCTGTCCTTGCTGAGCTCGCTTCACAAACTGCTCCAGTTGACCCTCCCGTACGAGCCTTTCTACGTACTTCTTTAAGATGTAACAATCAGCGGTCTGATGAGAGTCGCTCTTGTGGATTTTGCAGTATTTGTTCTTGGGGTTCTGATTGTGGATGATATTGCACCCCTCAGGGGTGGCGATCAACCCCTGCTTTGCAGCATAATCCAGGACAGTACTCACCTGATGCGGGGAAGGAGAGAAATCTGGGTGGCTGCCTAGTGGCCCCTCAGGAACACCTTATTTGTCCTTTCCTCAGCCCTTCTTCTTCTTCCTGGTCTCATTCCCCTTGTCAGGATCAAGGGTTTCCTTTTCAACGGATTTCTTCCTTTCGCCCTCAGACTGGCGATTCCCGGCTTCTTCTTCCTTCTTTTTCTTCTCAGCTTCTTCCACTCTGGCTTTCGCGTTTGCTCGCTGCAGGGCTTCCTCGTGCAAAGTTGGAGGATTTTGAACAAAATCCTTATACAACTCACCCGATCTCAATGCATTGGTGAGTATAGCGACAACAGACTTGTCATCCAGGTCGTCTGTCTTCACGGATTCGTCCCTCCACCGGATCAAGAAATCAGCTAAGCCTTCCTGGGGTCCCTGCTTGATCTCCAAAAGGTGAGAAAAATTCTTCTTGGAATCCCTAGAGCTGGCGAACCGGGTCACAAAAGAATGGGCCAACTCCATGAAATTTCGGATCCTTCCATTGGGCAGGGAATCGTACCACTCTCGGGCTGGCCCGTCAAGTGTTACCGAAAACCCCCTGCACTTGATGGCATCCTCATACCCCATCATCACCATATACGCCACATATCTGGAAACATGGTGTTGTGGGCCTGTCTTTCCCCGGTAGGCCTCTATATGGCAAGGCTTGTATCCCTGGGGTAGCGGGGCGTCCATGATCTAACAAATGAATGGTTCGGGAATCCTTACTTCATGGTTGGGGTTGAACCTGACATCCACCTCCCTCCGGAGCTCATCCAGTCTTCTCCCGAGATCATTGTTGAACTGGCCTGCTCGTTGCCGAGGTGGGGATCGTCGATTCCCGTGGCCCTACCAGTTGGCGTTGATCTCGTTTCTGAGATCTCCCCCACGCACGCTACGGCAGTGGGACGAAACAGCCGCGGTGGATGCCTCCACACTCGGCTCAGGTTGGGATGAGATTTTGTCATGCACGGAGACCCTTTGTTCTCTGATTCGGTCCATCACTGAAGTCCTTGGGGTTGGCCTGGAACGATGGGAACGTTGAGATCGGGATGGCGGCGAGCCCCTCCTAGAGTGCTCATGCATCTCCTCCTCCTGCCGGGGCATGGACGGAGCCCGGCGAGGGGAAGGGGACCTCACACCCTCATCAGGGATGATGCCCTGAAAGACAGTGGTCAGAGTCTCCACTGCCCTTTGGAATGTCGCCAAACTCGCTAAGGCTCGGGCTCGATCAACATTAGGGATACGATTCCCTATGCCTGGCGTCCGAAACTGCGACGGTCGTGTTGCTGCCCGCCTGGAACTTCCAACCCCTTGGAGATGATTCCTCAAATCATCTTGTCCCGTTGTGTTGTCGTTGCGCCTTCGGAAGTCACTCCGGCGCGACCGAGAACCTTCGTCCTTGATCAACACCTGTTTGAAACGATTAGCGCCCAAATTGCTGCCCACACGGTTGTGGCTATGGGATCCAACCATGGTTCGCCGTAGATCGAGCTCTCAACGAGAGCACGAAATGATGGAGTTTAATCCAACTACGAGAGCTAAATCTACAGAAGCAAATGGAAATTTGACAGCGTAAGGCAATGTTCTATTGATCAATGTTTCGATCCCCTTTAGGAGGTTTACAAGTCGTACTTATAGGCTAAGGAACTAGTGTTACAAAAGGAAACTCATACAATAAATGCTATTAATTGTGCATTAGTTCGAATAGGACTCTTGTAACGTCTTGGCCGTTGTGCAATGATTGTTCCTTTATTCCTACGTTCCTGCCGTTAACTCCTGCTAGCTGCCATTCTAATGATAGTGTGCCACGTCAGCCCTAGGAATATCCCAACCTCACTAGAACTCCACTCAGGCTCGAGGCTTGCTTTCCAGTCTGGCCTGACTGTGGAGTCCTCTCGTGAGCTTGATCCCTAGTTAGGCCCAGTGGTTATCTAACATTAATCCCGTTTAAGGGCTAATCCTGCTAATGGTCTACATCCCGTTATGGGCTGGATTGTATAATTGGGTCATGGTCGGTGTCCATGATACCATCAGAGGATTTGTACATATATTTGTAGGTTAGTAGGTAATGGCCATAAAGGGGAAAGGTAGCTGGTAATCGAAGGGCATTTGTTAGCGTAACTTTTTTGGAATAGTTTGGTGCGCCCTCAGAAAATGGTGACCTACTTGAAATTATTGAAGCTTTGTATGAGTAAATTTGTTAGCATTAGATGATGTCTTTTGTTATGCTTCATTAATAGTTACGTATCAATGTCATTTAGTTATACATATACTCCCTACAAACAACAAACTATGCACATTAAAAATGAAATGTAAATTTATTTGAAAGATTAAATCGATTTGTACAATTAAAAAAATATTTAAGCAACAATAGAGAAAATGTTTAGTTTTTGAGTTCGTCGGTAGGTCTTCAGTCAATCGTGGAAACACACAAACGTCTCAAGAGATTGCATGCATGCTCAACCTCGTTCTATACGCAATCAATAAAGTTTAAGTGAGACATATTGAGGTGGATAACTGAAACTTATGTGGCATAATATTTTTAATAAATGGCTCACACACTAGCTTTAATAAAAATTACCGCTCAAGAAAGTCATTTGCACTATATCTCAGAGTTGGAGATTTTGATTGCACTTTTTTAATTTAAGGGATGATTTGCATTTTATCACCTGACTTTAAGGGTTGGTTGGATGTTTTTTAACGAAAATTGTCCTAAATAGGACTAATGAGTCTCTAAAAAGCACAAATAGGACTACTACTTTTTAAATTCCCTAAATAGGATTAAACATTGATTTTCTACCCTAAATACCCCAAAGGGTATTAATTCATTATGAAATGTTTTAATGCATAATAAAATCATAAAAAATCATATAAAAATATTAAAAAATCGTATAAAAACAATAAAAAATAGTAAAATATTAATAAATTAAAAAATTGAAAAAATTGTTTTTTTGATTTTTTTTAAAATAAAAAATAGTAACAAACCATAAAAAAGGGATACCTCTCCTACCGTGTCCGAGCACCACCACCTCCGATCGGTGAAAAATTCTGCCACTTTTGTAAAAAAATGCCATTTTGTTCTAAAAATGCCAAAATTGGCATTTTTACTCTTCATTATGCCAAAATTTTCATTGAGTCTGCCATCATCATGGCATTATGAAGAATAGTGGCAGATTTCCTTCGATAATGGGAGCTGGTGATGCTGGGGGGTGGCGGAGGCAGCAATGTTTTTTATTTTATTTTCCGTTATTTATTTATTTTTTTAATTTTTTTAAAAAATTAATATTCATTTTATGAATTTTTTATTAATTTTTATTATTTTTTATGATTTTTATTATTATTTTATGATTTTTTTTATGAAATTAATATTAATTAAATCATTTCAAAAGCTACAATGGTGTATTTGTCCAAACACACATTAATAATCCTATTGGGAGAATTTAAACAATTTAGTATTGTTTGTTAAATTTTGCAACTTTTTAATCCTATTTAAGGAATTGACTTTTTTTCAATGTAGATGATCATTTACATTATATTGATGTTTGTTTGAGAACTAATTTAGCATTTCCCTCTTATATTGCGATATACATAACCGTCATGGCGTTAGAGCTCCTAGCCTCTTACACATATACTACCTTCGTCCCAATGGACTTTGCATTCTTGGAATTAGGTGAGAAATAAGAATAGTAAAAATTGTGTGGTTGAAGTTTGAGCAGATGAGAGAGAAATGAGCAGAACTACAAAATAATTACTTTATTGGGAAAGTGACAAAGTTTTTTGGGACAACCAATATGGAAAAATTGGCAAAGTCCAATGGGACGGAGGGAGTATCAAAAGCTAGCAACCGTACTACCATAGCCTCAATTCTTTAAGAAATGAACTCTTTGCTAGAGCTTTCTATAATTTAAGGTGTGACATTAAAAAAAAAATATAGAACAGATCAGGCTTCAACAACTATAAAATACACACTGTATCGATATTTACAAGACCATATCGGATTTAAATAAATCAGAACAAATCACGTTCCACCAGAAAATTTATATCCAATAATTAACAACATCCTTAAATAGGAAAATGCTTAGTGTACATGAGTTGTACACAAACTGTACACAAAACCCCCCTAGTTGCCTGTGTACACAGGAAATTCATTTAGAATAGAACAGAATTTGATACCCAATTGCCTGTGTACACGGGCAATGTACACATTTGTGTACATCTTGTGTAGACCAAGCATGGCCCCCTTAAATATCATTCTATCTGTCAAGATGAAAAAGGTGGCACCATTTTTTACTGAAACACTAATACGGACCACAGAGTAATATTAATCCTTATAGAGTATATCTAGAGAGAAGTGAGAGCTAGAGAGAGAAGTGCAATAATATGCTTCAATAGAATGAATTTTTAACCCCTATAACTACTCCCAAAGGGAGTATTTATAGAGAAAATACGGGTTGGGCTCCCAAGCCTTGGGCTTGGGAGGCCCATCTACAACTGGACCGCTACTGGGCCGAATACAAAGCCACTAATGGGCTGTACAAATAAGTAAGTGTAGAATCCGGTTCTGTGGAGTCTTCGTGGCCGACGAGGGCATGGCCGACGAGGGCACGGCCAATGAGGGCGCGGCCGACGAGGGCACCCAGGTTCCTTGGCTTCAGGACCATGATCTGAGTTGGCACCTTTTCGGCCGATGGGGGTCCCTTGGCCGACGAGGGCGCCACTCTGTGTCTTGTGCTTTCTGTTCTTCCGAGTATGTGGGTCCGGGGGCCCAGACCCATATACTCCATCAGGAGTCCCCCACTCTCTAAGCTGAGACGTAGGCGAAGTGAAGGAGAGTAGATTCCCGTGTTTTAGTGCTTTTGGCCGATGCGGGCATTCTCAGGCCGTCAGCTGTTGCGACGTTGGTGTTGTTTCCATTTTGGTGATCCTGTTCTGTGCCTTGGCCGTTACCTGCTCCTCGCTGTGGGCGGGGAGGCCGTTGTTTCCTTGATGTGTTCATTTGGGGATAATAAGTGTCCTGCTTCAATGGTGGCCGTTGAAGGCACGCTTTCCCTTTCCTGGACGTTGATGGTTGAAGTTTATGTTTGGGCCGATGAAGCCACTGAGGTTGAACTTTGCTTTGAGGACGATGGCGTCCTTTCCTTTGGGTGGCCGATGAGGGTGTTTGCGCACTCCTTTTGGCCGTCGTTGGTTGGCCTTCGCATTCTTGGCCGAAGAGCCCATCAGTGATTAGCTGTTGGCGGAGGACGATGAGTGTCCTTGCCTTCAGTGGCTTGTTGGCCGTTGTTGATGATGTTATGTGCATCTGAACGATGAGGAGCCGTTGTGATGCGTGGACGATGTGGCCATCCTTTGTGGTTACGTTCATATTCTTTGTATTGTTCCTTTCTGTTTTGTTGAGGCCGATGTAGTCCCCCAGTCCCCCACTGCTTCAGGCCGAAGAGTGTGAGGGGTGAAGGAGTTGCTTGAGTCCCTGGCCGAAGCGGCCTCTCCGTAGTCCCCCTGAATCCAACCCTCATGGCGATTTTCTGGCCAAGGTAACCCTGTGGGAGAACCCTTGTGCGCAGATCGCTTGTAGAGAGTTATCATCAAGGGTCATTACGAGGAGCCGATGGCTTGTGAGTTCTTGGTTCCTTTGGTCCTGTGGCCGTTACGGGCGTTCATTACGTTCATGGCCGTTGTCGTCTCCTTATTGTTGGCGTTTGTGAACCTGGCAAGCAAATAGGACGTTGTGGGCGCTTGCTGGCACTCGTGAAGCCGGCAAGTGTATAGGCCGTAGAGTCTGTTTTGCCAGTGGGCTGTTGACATGTAGTTTGGCCCGTTGGTGACGTGGTGGCCTCCCATTGGTGGCCGCTGATGTGGCCATTGGGGGGTGCCACGTGTAGTGACCGTTGGGTGGGGGGTTCTATAAATACCCCTCCCCCTCCGACGAGAAAACGTATTTGCATTCTGAATTGTCGAAGTGCTGGCCAATTTTCTAGAGAGATAAACTCCCAAGCTTGTTCTTCGTGTTCTTCGTGTTCAAGGTTAGTGTTCATCGCAATCTTCCTCACTTTTCATACTTTTCTTCCTAGGCTAGTGATCTAATGTTAGGCGTTTGAACACCATTAGATCCTGAGTTAATCTCCTTAGGCTCGTAGTAGTAGTTATGATGAAGAGCTTGAACGAAGACTACTATCCCTACGACGACCAGCCCTCCACGAGGTCACTTGACTATGAGGTGCACGAGGAGTTCGAGGAGGAGATACAACACTTGAGTCCTTACAAATCCGAAGAGCCGGTGGACGACGAAGTCGAGGACGAGGAGTCCGCCTCATCTTCAAAAGGTGAGGACGCAGGTGCGTCCCGAGTGGTGGACGGGGCGTCCACTTCCGCTGTCATTCCCTGCTCGAGGCCGGTGTCTGCCGTGAAGGGGGCCGATAAGCCGAAGAGGGTGAGGAGGCCGAAGAGTGGGCCTGGCGTCTCCTATTTGGACCTCACCAACATCTTCCTGATCAAGCCGGAGAGCAGCGCGACCGACTACCTTGTTGCCCAGATGTACGTGGGGCCGTACGGGCGGGTTAGGGCACCCAGGCCGACGGACCATGTTCTTCTTCCGCCACCGGGATACTTTGGAGTATACCCGATGAGTTTTGCCAAGGGGCTGAGGTTCCCCCTTCACCCCTTCATCACTGAATACCTGGACATGGTAGGGCTCCCTCCGGCCTTGCTGACGCCGAACAGCTATTCTTTGATGGTGGGGTTTTTGCTCCGTTGTGAGGAGCTGGGCTACAGGCCGACGACGGCCCTGTTCATGAATCTGTACCAAATCGGCCGAGGAAGCCACAAGAACTGTGCGGCCTATGCTACTCTTCAACAGCTGCCGAAGAAGAGAAGCTTCACGGACTTGCCTTCGTCCATTCATGGGTGGAAGAGCAAGTTCGTTTTTGTATCCCTTGGTGAGAGTGGCACCGAGTTTCCCTCCCTCGGCCATACCGGGAGGTTTAATCTGCATGACCCGCCGAAGAGCTCTATTTTGGACGCTCAGGTGGAGGCTTTCTTGGAAGGGGGGCCGAGGAGCGTGAAGGATTACATCACTGAATACAAGATGACCGCCCTCGGCTTCTTGAGATACCATGTGTATGGCGATAAGGAGGATGACCTCCAACTCTGGCCGAGGATGACCACCACCTTTGAAGAGGCCGACGGCCCAGATTTGGGCATTCCTGCTGAGGCCGATGGTAATTATTTCTTCGGCTTTCTGTCTTTATGCTTTGTTCTTTTGCCTTACTAATCTGTTGTGTTTTTCCTTTGTAGATTTTGTCATGGACCGTCGCTCCATCATGGCTATAGCAAAGGCCAAGGCGGCCGAGACGGCCAGACGTGCCGCGGCCGAGGGAGGCGGGGCTACTGCTGGTGCGGCCCCAAAGCCCGCCCAATCGAAGAAGAAGAGACCGGCCACTGACGGCCAGAAAAAATTGACTGAAGCCGGCCTGAACGTCGCCAAGAAGACGAAGAGGGCACCGTTTCCTTCCCCGACTACCGAGGCCGGTACTCTGACTGTCCTGAGTGTGGACGATAGTGGTCCCCTCGTGGACCTTACTGCTGCTCCGAGTGATGCCGCCCAATCGCTCCCTATCGTCCAAGAGCCACGGACGAGGAGGGCTGGCAAGGAGGTCGCCGCTGCCACCTACCAGAAGGTGGTGGAATACCCCGTCGGCGGGGGTGTGTTTGACGATGCCGTCCTCGGCCACGATGTGCTGGCACAGGCCATGCCGGCCAAAGACTGGGCTTACCTCAAGAAGCTCGGGGACGTGAAGGTGTACGAGGGTGGCATGGACCTCCTCGTCCAAGTAAGTTCTCTGCCTTGTAATGTGTAATTCTTCTCGTCGTCCGTGTAGAGTTAGTTGTCTGAGTCTTGATTTGCCCTCCTTTTTTTTGCAGAGTGCCTTTATGCTCATGGAGAGTCATAAGAGGCAGTACCGGGAGATAGCTCGTTTGAAAGAGCTGGAGCAGAAGGCTGCCTCGGCCGACGAGGCGGTAGCTTGCTTGGATCGGCTCCGGGAGGATGCCAAGGCTTTGCAGCAAAGGGCCGATGAAGCCGCTGCAGCCAGGGACGATGCCCTGGCCAAGCTCGAAGAGACCCAAAGGGCGCTGGAGGCCGAGCGGCGCAAGAACGAGGAAGCCGTAAAGGCGAGAGCTGAGGCCGAGGCTGCCGCTGTGCAGGCTGCTCATAAGGCCATAGAGCAGTTCCTGGCCGAAGGGTGGAAGGCCGATGAGAGGCTCCCCTGGTGCTATGAAGTGGTGGCCGCCAGGCTTGAAAATTGGGGGATGAACTCCCCCGCCGGCCAGGAGTATTTCAGTAGGGAGATGGCCGTCTATTATAACATGGGCCAGGAGCGGATGCAGAGGCTCCTGTGTCGGCGGCTGTCTCGTGCTCTGAAGGCCATGAATTACACGTCCGGGTGGGCCAGACGGAACTTGAAGCTGCCAAAGCTGATGAAGGATCCAGGAGAGCAGGCCAAGCTTGCTCTGTCGGAGCGGGAGTCCCCCATTGAGAGCTCCGGCCTCGGCGAGCCGGATTACACAGAGTTCGATTTCCTGGACGATGCCACCAGTGCTGCAGCCGCCGCCGGCCAAGAGACTGAGGCCGAGGAGGGAGCCGACGAGGTCGAAGAGCCAGCCGCGGATGGAGGTGCCCAAGAGGCTTGATCGGCTACTCCCTGCTCCTTTGTAATTAGCTTTTCATTTTTTTGCCAAACTGATGTAATGGCCGAAGCGCCCCCAATTGTAATGAACTGACTATGAATGAAAAATTTTTGCCGTCCTGCTCGGCTTTGAATTCCTTGTATGCTTGTTTGCCTTTTGTCATTTCAATTCTGAAATTTGTCTAAGTGTCAAGGTCACAACTTGGGTCACCCGCGAGTGTCCGCTACGTCCATGGGGTAGTCCACCCTGTCCGGTGGCCTGGTCGGCTTGTTCGTCGTTGCTTTACTATCATAACCCTTAGGATCTTTTTTTCGAAAATTTCCTAAGTGCTTTGAATCCACTTAGGTGCTTTCTTCCCGGCCTGGTGGCCTTGTCGGCCTGACCGGTGTTGATGTAGTATCATAACACTTAGGATTTTTTCAAAAATTTCCTAAGTGTTTTGGATTCTTGTAGTTGCTTCCCTTCCGGCCTGGCGTTGTCCCATTCTTCTTTTTGTTAGAATGTTTCTAAGTGTATAACTTCAAGTGGATGAGTGTTCTCATCGTCCTGGCATTGGATTTCTCATTGTTGACAAATGCTTTGGGAGATTGCCCAAGTGTTTGAACCAGTGTCGTTGTCGGCCTGCATCCTTGTGTTGTGGCCGATAAGGGCACCTTCACTTTGGGCTTGTGAACTTAGAATTTTTTCTAAGTACACATGCAAAGGCGTGGGTAGCTAACGGCCTTGAAGTATACAGGTACCCGCTTCGTCTAGAGTTCCTCCATTTGAATACTTAAGAGAATTTTCTAAGTATGAATGTAAGGGATTTACTTCTTTGCGGTACCACTGCCGGCTAAGGAATGGCCCTACCTTCATCGGCCAAGGTCTGGCTTGTGGCCGATGAGGGTGCCGGATAAGGAATGGCTTTTCCAAGGAGATGGCTCTACCTTCGTCGGATAACCATGGTTCCTTGTTGAGGAACCCTCTTTTTTCCTCAGAATTTTCTCTAAGTGTTTGGTAAACACTTGAACCAATTCCCAAAGAACTTTCGCTTGACTAACAGCCTTGGTTCCAGTGCCTGTATCGGCTATCCGGGGTGCTGTGGCAAGTAAGGATTGTTTCCTGATTGCTTGATTCTTCCGCGGGTGTGTTAAGTGCCCGCTTCGTCCTGGTCATCCTCAGGATTGTGATTCTTTGTTTCATACCAAGCGTTGGTGCTTCAAAGGACTGTGGCCGATGAAGGTCACCTCTCGCGTGTCACCCAACCGATGCGGTTAGGGTTTCCTAGGCGTGTGTTTCGGCCTTGATTATTCCCTTGTAGTGCGTGGACGTGTAGTCCATGTTACTTGTCAGTGGTACTACACTTGTGTTCAACTGATATGTACTTGGCCTAGTTGGGCCTGAGTTGTGGGGATTTTCTTTTTTCATTGCTCGAGGCCGGCTAGTGTGCGCGGCCATCGACTTCCCTCTTTTTCCCTTATATATATATTTTATTTTATTTTTCGTCTCGGGGAGTATCCTTCTTTCAGGCTTCGGCCGAAGGGTGTGCTCGTCACCTATCCTATTGAAGGCAGAGGCTTTTCCACGCGCTGGGGTCTGCCCAGGACGAAGAGGGGAAGCAGGGTGGGAGTGAGACGACGCCGTGTCCTGGGGCACCACCCCCTCATCGTTGCCTATCTGGACAGCCAACGGTTGGGGCTGAGGAGGTTGAGTGACGTTCCCCCCGGTCCTTGACAAGAGTGCGCTGAGGATGGTGGGGTTCTGAGCTAGGCTGGCGATGATGGCCGACAACGCGGCCTGGACCTGTGGATCCACGGACGGAGAGGCCGCGGCCATAGGCTGGGCCGGGGCGTGCTCCGTCTTCTCAGCTCGTTTCTTGTCCAAGCTGAGGCGGACATCAGGGGCTCCGCCGTTGAGTTGGTTGCGGAGGTCCGTCGTGAGGTTGAAGGCCTCCTGGAAGAGGTCCCCTCCGCCGGCCTGGTCGGCCGTGGCGTCCTCATCGTGCTCCCTGGGCTCTTGGTCCTCAGGGATGGCTTTGCTGACGAGGTTGCGGTTTGACTTAGTTCTCCCCATGATCAGTGGTTAGCTGTGCTCGGTAGCGACGAAGGGTGCTAACTTGATTGTTCTAGCTCTCAATGAAAGCACCAAATGATAGAGTATATCTAGAGAGAAGTGAGAGCTAGAGAGAGAAGAGCAATAATATGCTTCAATAGAATGAATTTTTAACCCCTATAACTACTCCCAAGGGGAGTATTTATAGAGAAAATACGGGCTGGGCTCCCAAGCCTTGGGCTTGGGAGGCCCATCTACAACTGGACCGCTACTGGGCCGAATACAAAGCCACTAATGGGCTGTACAAATAAGTAAGTGTAGAATCCGGTTCTGTGGAGTCTTCGTGGCCGACGAGGGAACAGCCGACGAGGGCGCGGCCGACGAGGGCACCCGGGTTCCTTGGCTTCAGGACCATGATCTGAGTTGGCACCTTTTCGGCCGACGGGGGTCCCTTGGCCGACGAGGGCGCCACTCTGTGTCTTGTGCTTTCTGTTCTTCCGAGTATGTGGGTCCGGGGGCCTAGACCCATATACTCCATCAAATCCATATTCGGAGTAAATTAGCATCATATCCTAGGCCTGTCAGTGAATCAGACTTTCATTCTTGAACTCGCTAAATAAAGGATGACACCCTATCCTTGAGGGCCTCCAACCCCGACCGGACGGTACGTTGGGAGGATGTAAGTTGGACTATAATCTCAATCTGACAGAAAGAGAGTGAGATCCTGTCCCCGGTACTTGCAGAGGTCCTAGCATTTAGCATAGTCTCCTCTCATCGCAATTCACGGGATTCGAATTCGGGACCTAACCCTTGTGGCACTCCCTCGCTACTAGTTGGGCTACGCCCACCGGTTTCTTGAACTCGCTAATAATTTATTTATGGTTCCATACCCGATTGGTACCGTAGCGGATAAGAAATTATTGTTCCAGACCCGAACCCAACGGGTCCCGGTACCGGGCCTGGTAAACTGTTCAATATAAAGTTAACAATATAATACTGTAAATTTTCTAAAAATATAGACATATATTATCCTCCATTCTATAATTGGTGCAACAATTTGACTTTCATGTTTGTCAACGCACAACTTTGACTGTGATTAATTATATTTAAATACATATTAGTAAACAATATAAAAAATTAATATTTTGGAAATACAAAATAATAGAAATTTAATAACATTTTATACCCAAAAATTTGACTATATATATCAGTAGAAAATTATGGTCAAAATAAGATGCGTGAATAATGCAAAAATTCCAATTTTGCAACTATTAAAGAATGGGGAAATTATTTGATTTGATTGATTTCAGGGAAGGTAAAGGTATAACCGATTGAAAAATAAAAATAAAATTAAGAGTTTGAGACATAATAGTGACATAATTTTGATAAAATAAATTCAAGTGAGTTAATAAATTTAGTTGCATTTTTCGTTAAAATTAAATAAAATAAAAAGATACACCAACATTTTCTTTTTGAATAACAGAAGATGTGTCACGGGCCTATGAGCACCCCATGCATGACTCACTTTATTTTTTTAGATCATCATATATTCATATCGAATGGTATCCTACTATATACTCCTCCCTCCGTTCCTAAATAAACTTTCAATTTTCCTTTTTCGTCCGTTCCAATTAAATTTCCACTTTCCTTTTTTGGTAAATAATTTGTGTTTCACAACATTTCTTACACATTTCTTTTTCCTCTGCATAACTCTCCATCATACAATACCCACTTTTCTTAAATTGTGTACCAAAGTGGGTTGGAAGATAAAATAGGAACCAGCAAATTTAAAAGTGGAATTTCAGCCACTTTTCCCGCCCAAACGACCAGCAACAAAATGGATCAGGTCGGGTCTCAACATTAATGGCCTGAGTGCACAAGTTTAATCCCCTGCACTTCGGATGGGACAAAATATGCTTTATTTTAATTTTAAAATAGGTTGGGTATTATTATTGCCTGCACTCTGATCCGTCCCTATAATATATAGCTGATGACATGTAGTACAAATCTCACAAAGCAAATACTTGGTCAACATTAGTTTGAGCTGTCCAATCAAATGTCATTTCAAAGGACATTACACCTAATTAACCATTGGCCGCTACATCATACATAATCAATGCTTCTAAAAATTGATGTATAAATACATCAAAAATGATATAGGTACCCCAAACTTACCCCAATTCCTACCCCATATAAAAGCCCTCAAGTAATTTACCCCCAACCTCCCTCACGTGCGTCCCTCACCTTTCCCACTCACACATCTCCCGCTCCCACCTTTCCCCTTCCCCACAACTTTCGAAAAACAACCCGCAGTTGTGAACCCCCACCGCCTTGCAGACCTCCGTTGGTAAATGTCTGAGTCTTCGCGTCGCACACGAGCCCAAATTCAAGAGCTTCTCCGAATTTCAACCCGCCCTGACCCATCCGTGAATTCAAGCAGTGTTTCGTGAGCACCCCTCGTTGCAGACCTCCGTCCCTGTTTGTCCAAGTTCGTCCGAGCACTGTTCAGGTTCGTCCAAGTTCGTCCGAGCAAATTGCAGACCTCCGTCCCTGTTCGCCCATAACCCATTCTGAAGATTTTTGACTCCATGGTCCGCACAAGCTTATCACAAATGGCTGAAAGGTATGGAATTTGTTCTATTTTCTTTGAATTTATTTTATGTTGGTGTGAATGGAGTTGTAATTTTAGTGTTGTTTGTCATTATGTTTGTGAATACTTTGAAGTTGTGTGTGATAGAACTCTTGAAAGTAGGTTTGTAGTTGTCTATGATGCCAATGGAGTTGTCTGGCAAGACATATGACAGATCTGGCTGGTCAATTTGAATTTTAAAAATTAGGTTTTTTAGTTGTCTCGGAAGTATTAAAATTGTCTGGCAAGCCATAACTCAAAGAAATTGGTTGAAATTATACAGGGCTTTTGAACTTCAAGTTCCCGTGTCGAAGCAGTTTCCTGCTCAGTATTCTGTGTGCTCATTTTTCAAAGAGGCCGGAAGCTTGGTGCAGTCTGCCTTGACCAAGAAGCAACTTGAGGAGTTTAAGAAGCTGCCATGGGGCCACCTCATATATGTGCCAGAAATGCAATTTTCGGGACAAATTATCCATTCTCTTCTGCTCAGGCTTGTACGGGACCAACCCGATGACGAGTTATGGTTTTGTATTCAAGGGAAGCTGTTGAAGTTTACCTACGCAGATTTCTGCCGCATCTCTGGGATTAAAGCATCGAGGGAAAAGCCTGTATTCAGTACTGATGAAGAGGTTCGGGGGAAGGTGTTTGAGAAGTACTTTGCTGGATCAACGGACATAACCTTCAAGACGCTGAAGGAAAAGCTGAAGGCATTCAAGCCTATAAGAGGAGATTCCACTGACCCTCTGAAGCTAGTGTCCTTGTGTTACCTTGTGAGTGTTCTGCTTGCAAGAGATAACAAAACAAAAATAAATTTAGACTATGTCAAATGGGCGGACGAGTTTGAGAAGTTTACGATGTATAACTGGGGTTTAGAGTCCTACAACATAATGGTTGAAAACCTGAAAACTGTCATGAAAGGTCAGCCCGGGAGGTTCAAGAAAAGCAATGCCAAAAATGCCAAGTTCACTCTATACGGATGTCCTCATATTCTACAGGTAATGTAAACAGACAAACATTTATATGTACATACAGACATTTATATGTACATATTTTGGGCAGAAAAACATTTTAATTTTTCTACATATAGGTTTGGGCGTATGAGACCGTTCCTAACCTTGGAGAGAAATTTGCTGAAAGAGTTGGTAATGAAGACATCCCTATGTTGAACTGGAAGGCTGATGGATTCTTTCATGCACGGAAGCTGAATGAATTGGTTTTCAAGGACAATGATGATGTATTATATCTTATTTTCTTAAACTTAAGCAATTTGTCATAACATCGTATTATATAATTCAACTGTTTCATGTGTAGGAGGAAGAAGCAGAGGAAGATGTTGATGAGGATGATGAAGAAGAAACAGAGAACGAGGATGAAGAAGTAGGGAGGAAGGGGTTCAAGGCCAAAGTCATGGAGGAGATTAAAGATCTGCGGAAGAATGTGGCAGATTTGGAAACGAGGTTGAAGTTGATGGAAGAGAGGGTGAGTGCACCGTGTGATGTGTCAAACAATGCGGCTGAGGTAAGGAAGATTTGATTTGTTATTCATTGTTTATTTCGGACTGGTAGTGTTAATACTATTGTTTGGCAGGTTGGTGGCAATGAGGTTGATGCTAATGCCATGCAAATGGATGATCATGACGTCCCAACACACGATGAAGAATGTGGCCCAACGGCCGTTGTAGATGATGCAAACAATGTGAAGGAGTCTGATGTCACTACACCTTCGGTTGAGATCATCTCAACCATCCTCAATGAAGTAAGTCAATATGTCTGTCTAGTTCAATCTAATTATCTGTCTCCAGACATTTTAAAACACTTTTGGATGTGGCTGATTTTATGTAGCTGGCTGATGTTGTGGATAATTCAAAGGATGAGAGGGAGTTTGATCCTACTACAGCTTCCAATCCGATCATCTCACCGGCTCTTCTTGATGTAAGTTAAAATGTCGGTCTCATTGTATTGAATTGTCTGTCTACAAACATCTTCACAATCTCAATCATTTGACTGTTTTATAAGGTGGCTGCTGCTGAGCTCACTAATCCTGCCCCTTGTGATGAAACATGCCCCTTGAAAAGGCCAAGATACCCTTCGAAGTATAGGGTCAGCCCTTATACCGAACCAAGAGCTTCAAAGCGGGCAAAACACATTATTGAACCCAGTCTTGAAATCCACCCAATCTTCATTGCTGAAACCCAGTCTTGAAATCCACCAAATCCTGCCCCTTGTGATGAAACATGCCCCTTGAAAAGGCCAAGATACCCTTGGTAAGATATGTTGTGTCAAATGTAATGACATCCCCAAAATCTTTGTAAGCATATCGACATCGATTATCCGCCCAAAAAACATTGCGTAAGCGTGACTCTTCATCCAAATCAAGCATAAAGAAGAACCCGGGGCATTGAGCTTGCATTCTACAAAAAAAATCCTGTAATGCCACCACATCACCACTTCCCAACCTAAGTTTACGCACTTTATCTATATAGTTCCTACAATCCTTTTCAATGAAGGAAAGTTGATCATATCCGCCGACTTCAACAACCACAGAGTTGAAACTCTTATGAAGTGGTATACCGGCGACATCATTGATTGCAATTTGCCTCATAACTTTCCGTGTCAACCTCCTATTACACCGAAATAGTCTAGACTTCGTAGGACTCATAGGATGGTTATGATCTAAACAAGCCGTTGAAATCACCCAACCCCGGCATAATTTATACGCGCTCTTATTTTGGCCAAGCAACCAACTTGCATCGAAGGTAGAGGCTTCAAAACATTTTGTGCACGGCTTTGCCTTTTTCCAGCGCGCCCACACTCTAATGCAATTGCAGATGTCGTTCCATCCCCATCTTTCCTAGAATTCCTTATTCTAACAGGAAACCCTACTCTTCTCCCGTACTCCTTGTAGAAATCATACACTGCATCTTTACTGGGGAACTCCATACCAACAACGGGGACTTCAATACAAATCTGTTCTTCCTCTTCATCTGTTATTTCAGAAAAATATACATGTTCACTACATTTATCATTTTGTCTCGCCAAACCATGTTTAAAAAAACACCTTTATATAACACTCTAACAACTATAAAACCACGTTCACTTCAAACAACTATGAGACCGCGTTTACGTTAGGCTTGCCAGACACTGCACTGACAAATTGTCTGTCCGCCAGACAAAATACAAAAATGACGGAAAATAAACTTACTCTTGTCCAAGACTTCCACATCTTCATCATCTTCTTCCCTTGAAGTCGCTTCTACTTCAACAGCCTTCGGAGATGGTGGATTACCACCGTCACCCACCTCAACAAGCTTCTCACCTTCATCTCCCCATGTCAACCCATCCAAACAAAACTCATCACTAAAGTCGGATAAATGCTTCCCCATCACATCCATCCAAGAAGATGATGTAAAGACGCAGGTAAGACCCTCCGTCGAGCACTGTAGCAGTTCGTCGAAAGTTGGGGTGTGTTTTGGCGGAAACAATAAGAGTGGGTGGAGGGTTTGGGAGATGTGAGAGAAAGTTATTTTTAGAAAGGGGGTAAAAGGGATGGTAAAAACAGGGGTATTTATATGGGGTAGGAATTGGGGTAAGTTTGGGGTACCTATAGCATTTTTGTAAATACATACGGCTGAATTTTATTAGCACCGTCCCAACGGGAAGAAATGGTTGCCTTCTCTGGCGAAGGTGTGTGACCCTTTCCATTGTATCTTAGATATGTGCATCGTTAAATGTTAACAAGCACAAATGTCTATTTTTGCGTCAAGGTGTGTGAACCTTTTCCGGCGAAGCATGTTAGTATATATATACAAAAGAGTAAAATATCACGTTCGACCCTCTGTGTTGGACTGACTGCCGGAGCCAGGCAAAGGGGGGTGGGGGCTTCCAGAGGATTTGTTTTACTTCACCGGGGATTCGCCGGTCGGTCGACATCAGATCCCTCCTCTAATGCCGATAAAGGCAAGAGATGTTTCTTGGTGGTTGGTTGTGGTTTGTTGGGACGCATGGAAGCCTTGCTTTGATTTTGGGGATATTCTACTACCGGAGCTTCGCCGGAGGGGACGATTGTAGCTTTCAGTGGTGACCTGACATCGTTGACTGCATCGCTGTCTAATCCGTCTGATATGTTGGACTGCTGCTTACGCTTTGACACGGAACACAGAAAACCCTAATGGGCTCTTGGACGTTGGGCTTGCCTGAGGACAACTTTGGAGTACGCTGGAGACTTGGGGAAATTTTCACAAATCGACAAAAAATGAATGTAATATCAATTTTGTGCCCTTAAAACTTTCTTTCAAATATAGATTACTTCAATGTTTCTTTTCAAAAATGGACCATTGGCATGAAGGCCATAGTCTAAAATTTCTTTCACTTGACATGTACACCAGTGCATGTAAATTTGAATCACTGCTCCACTTCTCAAAAACTAATACAAACAGTACATATAACGTGCATGCACTCAACTTTTTATTTTTCAACTGAAAATGTAAAAATTCATTAACTCATATTTTTGATAATGTTTAGAAAACAATAAAATTAGAAAAAGGAAATTGAATCTTAAAAACATAAAAAACTCAAAATAAAAAATAAAAATAAAAGAAATGCAAAATTGGAAAATTGTAAATTAAATTTAAATAATAAAGAAAATGAATTTAAATTTTACAAAAAAGTTAGAAAAATAAAAAACATGTAAAAAACTAAAAAAAAGTTGAGAAATATATTTTAATGTAGTGTTTTTAAATAGATAATATAATTTATTTTATAAAATATAAAAATAAAATTTTTTATAAAAAAGTGTAAAATAGTTAAAAAAAATATCGACAACTATAAATTACTAAAAATACGTAATATCAGATAAAAATGTTTGAAAATATTAATTAATATGATAAATAATCAGAATCTTTTATGAAAAAGTAGTGATTTTATAAAACTGGAAAATATACATATCAAAGAAAATAGACATTCAAATAAATATAAAATTTTGAAATCATTCGAAAAGTTAAATTAAATTTATATTAAAGTGAGAAAAATAAAAATGGATAAAATAAATTTTAAAAAATTAGAAAATAATGTAACCTAAAAAACTTTAAAATTAAAATAAACTCAGAGAATAAAAATATGAAAAATTAAAATAATGAACTTTGAAAAATTGAAAAATAAAAAATATGAATTTTATAATGTAATATTTCTTACAACAATTAAACTATTGAATTATTACTATTTTATTACATGTTTTTATTGCTTATTGTTTTTGTGTTTTCTTTTGTTTATAATTATGAAATTTTTGTTTTTTATTGTTTCTTTATGTTTCAAGTTGTTGTTTACTTTCATGGATCTAAATTTTTCATTTTAGGTTTTTGTTTTTAAATCCACATAGATATTTTGATTTTAAGAAAGTCACCAAGGTAATAGAAACCTAAATAAAAACAAAAATCTACGTCAATAAAAAATGATCAATAACATAATACAACAATAATCAACACTATGCAACAAAAAGTAACATGTTACAGCAAAAAGAAACATGGTGCAACAAAAAGTAATACACATGATATAACAATAAGAAACAAAACCAATGAGAAACTTTCTTCTGCCAAAGTTTATAATTTGCTTCGGATTAAGGGGGAAACTCACGCCTGGATGTCTTTCATTTGGAAGAGTTATATCCCTCCCAAATTCTCTTTTACGGTTTGGTTAGCCTTCCGTAACCGGTTGGCTACTTTTGATAATTTGCATAGGCTTGATGTTGTTAACATTTACACCTTTTGTAAGGGTGGTCCCGAATCTGTACCACACCTCTTTTTTGCTTGTTTTTTTGCAGGTAATGTTTGGAAAAAGGTGAAGACCTGGCTGGAGCTACCTAAGGAGATGGGGACCTTGCATAGCTCGTTGAAATGGATCAAGAAAGAGAGGCAGGGCTCCGGAATCAGAGCTAAAGCTGCTAGGATCGCCTTCTGCTATTCTGTCTACTGGATTTGGAGGACTCGTAATGCTACTTGCTTTGATGGCTTGACTCCAAGAGAAGAAGATGTTTTTGCTAAAGTCCAATATATCACCTACAAAATTTTGTATAGCCTTTATCCGTTTGAGCTTGTTAGCTTGTAAGCTCTTGTTTTTTGCGTGACCTTCACCTCCTTTTTGGTGAAGGGTCTTTGTTTGCGGTTTTTGGGCTGCTCGCTTTCCTAGATGGGTGGGGAGTTGCTTTGGCAGGTGGTTTTTTTTGCTGGTTTTGGGTTGTCCTCTATTGGACAACTTGCATTTTTGTTTTCTTGTTTTTGTACATTTTTGAACCCCCCTTTTCTTGGGCGTTTCTTTCTTAATATACTTACAGTTCACCCAAAAAAAAGAAACAAAACCAACATACAATGTCACAATAAGTATACAATTCAACTTGTCAACTCAATTTATTACATGTATCTACTCTGTATTATATCATTTGATTTTGCTTCTTCACATCTTCTAGTAATCTGATAAAACAAAAATTTTAGAATGCACATAATTACAGAATTATATATTTATAAAAAATAGATCACAAATTAGATATTTTATTAAAAATGTAGCCTAATATAAACATAATTCTAGATCAATATTAAGTTGTAAACATAGGCACATTTGCACACAAAAAAATCTCACCGTTAAACTATTTAGTTGCTCCAGCACAGTCTTTTATTGGGTTGTTGTGTTTTTTCAGATTGAGCATCACATTTGTAACCCCTAGTTAAGTAGCCATTTGATATCTGAAATCAAAAAAGAAAAAATTAGAGAGATCACACTGCAACAAAATGTATTACAGCACCAACATAGAGTCTGGTTTAGGATATCCAACTCTTGACAGGTATCAAAGTTCAAAGGAGTAAATGAAAGTTGATGCAATCAATTTTACATCATGATTTCTAGGAATAAAGCCTCTAAGGTCCTTTCCTTTCTTCTAAAGCCAAATTAAGCTTTGCTGATTGCTTGATGAAAATCAGTTCTCATATTTTTCTGCATCAGCTAATTAATCCCAATACAATGAACCACATTTGACCACTACACCTCCAAAGGTAGATAACACAAAGCCATGGATCAAATTAACACATACAAAAGTTATTATTAACAAAACCTTGATAACTGTATTTATAAATTCATTTATACTAAAGGAAATCACAAATGGAAACATAAATAAACAAAAAACAACAATATTAAAATTCAATAATTGAAAAGTGATCAACAAAAATCAACAAAAAACAACACAGTGAAACAAAAGGCAATGATTTAACAATTAATTTCAACTTTCTATTTTTTAAAATCAGCTGGTAGAACTTAACGTGTAATCAATGGAGAAGTAGAGATCCATTGATAAATCTTAACACATAGGCACTGATTTTCACAATAACAATTCATTACCAAATTAAACCCTCCTACTATATATTGATCCGATCTTAGCACCATACAGAGAGTTAAGGACACTATGCAGACCATCCAAATCTTAAGTCACCATATCATATTATTATGTGGTTATCACATTGTAAAAATGTTTATAAAAACTCTACATATCATGCATGAATATTTATAGGACAATAATAGCACATCAGGACATAAAACAACTCTTAACTTAAAACACATACCTCCTAATAAACCCCCCACCCCTGCCCCATATTAGCATATCATAACCCCTTCCATTTTGCTACAACATTCTCATTCGAAATTTCTGCAGAAACATAGATCTCAATTTTGTTCAATTTAATAACTCATTCAATCTTCTCGCCTTTCTTAAATTTGGCTCGTATATGGCCATTATTTATTTATTTATAAACCTCAAATAGAACCAACAAAAAACGGTAATAAAAATATAAAAGCAATATTATTAGTAAAAAGTAATGCGCTAGTCAATAAGAATTTGAACTATCCACAACTTTTCCTTTGTTAACTACAATTTTTTGTCTAGTTAAAACTATAACACTATCAAATAGTGATTCCATTAAAGCTTTATCTGCAGCAAGAGGCTGTATGATCTGGAAGGAGAGTTTTGTTTAGGATTACTCAAAGCAAAATTAAGGACAAAATAATTCAAAATGATAGTTTAAACCATAATTCAAGCCTGGAGAGCTTGAAATGAGCAGTAGGTCCATCCGGCAAACCAATTATGAGCAGAGCATCTGGCTCCTAGAATCCTAGTGATTAATGTGTACAAAAATGATGGATATGAAATTCCTTGTTTTGGCATATTCAATCATCTTTTTTAGGTCATATATGAAACTGAGCACTAGAAATAACAGAGAGCAAATTGGATATGAAGGAAAGCCCCCTTATGGATTTCAATCGGGATGTCATTATCAGTACCTTAGGAATTAGATCTTTTAGAAGCACTCTGCTGAATTTATTCCACATCGTTTTTCGCAAAGAGCTCTTCGTCGTCGGATTTGAACAATGTCTCGTCAGCCTTCCTAGTAATCTTTATCGTGCACGGTATCTCCCTTTCCGGAGACTCTTCACCGAGCTCAAGAGCCATTTTTACAGCAGCACCGCGAGCTTTGGCCTTCTTTTGTTTCTCTACCTTCTTCTCACGCTTTAGCTTGGCGTGAATGGTCAATCTCTTTTCCTTGTTCACATACGGAGGAAGAGAGTTGAATCTCGTTGCCGCTCTCCCTCCCAGCGGCTCTCCTAGGGTGAAGAGAAACGGTTGTCGTGATTTTACTTTGCGTTTCTTGTGACACAGGAGGAGCTGGGCAGATTTCTAGAAGTGAAATAAAAAAACAAAAGTGAAAATAAAAAAGTTAAAAATGAAAAGATAAGGCACTTGAGACATTAATGATCGAAGGTTATAGAAACTAGACCACCCGGGTAATTACCACGGAGACTTGAGATGCTTGGAGTGGGATGCTGCACTCGGCTGAAACTTGCATGGGCTTTGAGACTGTTGTTTGATATGGAATGTGGCTGAAGTTTGGGCTCCTGATTACTTGGATCTTGGACTTTTGTGATTGTTTTTTGTGAAATTGGACTGTTTTTTATGGAATTCTTTTTGGATACTTTGGATTAAGGGTGGGCAAAAATACCGAATCAGCATGGTACCGAACTGGACCGGTATGGTACCGGAGTACCGGACTGACAAACGAGGTTTGAAACAGATCTTTTTTTTGTTACGAACCGGATTGTACCTGTTCCAAACAATGCCATTACGGGTTCTCATAAAATGAGAACCGATATCGGACCGGACCGAAGTATGATTTAATTATTTAAATTTGTACTACTATAATTTATCCAAAATTTATTAAGTACCTCATCCGTTCCAAATTGATTTGCAATATTAATATTTTTTGATCAATCAATATTAATGTTAAGTCCTCCCTAATGATAATTAATACAATTTTTAATAATTAAAACTTACATGTTTAGAAACCACATTAAAATCTTTTTAAAGATGCAAAATCCAAATTAAAATATACGAAAGTGCTTTTTTGAAAGGCCAAATTAGAATACTCCCTCCGTCCCTAAATAAAAGTATCTGTTTCCTTTTCGAGTCATCCCTAAATAAAAGTTCCCTTTCCTTTTTTGGCAAACAAAACAGTGCAAAACAGTTCCAAACAGTGTCCAAACAGTGCCAAACAGTACCAACCAAACCCACTTTATTAAAATGTGTGGAAAACGAATGGATACTTTTACATAGGGATGGAGGGAGTATAATTTAAAAGTGATACCCTAATTGAGTGGATAAAAAGAAATAGTTTCATCAAAAAAGGTTGAAAGGTTCCCATAGCAAAACGACACGGTTATTTAGACAATAATTAAATAAAGTACTTCGAGTATATTTTGAGAAATAATTATAACATGTATATATTATAATGTAGTTAGTATTGATAACTGTGATGTTATAAATGTATTATGTTTAATATTTAATGATTAATTTGTCACTTAAGATGGTTAATTGTTTCCTAAAATGGAAATGGGAACCTTCTAACGGGACGTCCAAAAAAAGAAAGTGGGAACCTTCTAGCGGGACGGAGGCAGTATGAAATATGGAAATCGATAAATTGTGTGAATTTTTGAAGGATGATTAAACTTTAATTTTTCCTTAAACACTTGGAAAATGTGGCATTTATTAAACATAATACTTCTCTTCTTTTTTGAATCGGCTTATATGATATATTACATAAAATATGACCCATTGTTACTTCATTTTATTATTAATACATTTACAAATTAGTTTTTTTTAAGACTTTAATTTTACAATTAATGTACACAAATACTATAAGAATTAGTATTGATAGAAATAGAGCTGATGTTGAAGAGGAATGACATTGATAGAAATCGAGCTGATGTTGAAGAGGAATGGCCGGCGCTTAAAAGACTATCCATCAATGTCATTTCCTAACATAAATCAATCATCCATGACTCAAAAAAGACTTATATTCGACGAATTGCAATATGATCAATTTTACGTGTACCCAACGATTATGGAATCGGTTCAAGAAAACAAAGGAGGAGTTTTCTTTAGATATTGTTATGGAGGTATAGGAAGAACATTTGTGTGGAAAACATTGTCTGCTGCTTTGAGATCAAAAGGGGAAATTGTTCTAAATGTCGCTTACAGCGGCATTGCAGCTTTACTATTACCCGGTGGGAGGACTGTTCATTCACGTTTTGCAATACCAATCAATCCAACTGAGAACTCCACCCGCAACATTAAACAAGGGAGTGCACTAGCACAGTTGATAATTCGGTGCAAACTCATTATATGATATGAGGCACCAATGATGCACAAATATTGTTTTGAAGCTTTGGACAGGAGTTTGAGAGACATTCTTAGATTTACAAATTCATATAGTGGCAATAACCATTTGGAGGAAAAACTGTGGTGTTCGGGGGAGACTTTAGACAAATTTTACCAGTCATTACAAAGGGTACTCGACAAGACATAGTGAATGCCACAATTAATTCTTCATATATTTGGCATGAGTGCATTGTGTTACGTTTGACGAAGAACGTGAGGCTCCAATCACTTAGTGAAGATCGCAAATATGAAGATTTGGTAGAGTTTGCGAAGTGGATTGCATATTTAGGAGATGATACTGCGGGCGAAGTCAATGATGGAATTGCCGATGTGAAAATACCAAACGACATTCTGTTAGAGTGCGGAGAGGATCCGATTGGCACTATTGTCAAAAGCACCTATCCTAACTTTGAGGGTATTGCCAATGATCCGTCCCACTTGCAAGAGCGTGCAATTCTAGCTCCAACTCTTGATGTTGTGGATCAAATTAAAGAATACATGACATCTCTTAATGTTCAGGAAGAGTCTAGGACATATTTGAGTTCTGATAGCATATGCAAGTCAGACTCAAGTTCTGATTTATTGGCTGATTTGCACACTCCAGAATTCCTCAATAAAGTCCGTGCATTAGGAGTACC